ACTAAAACAACAGCTTAACGCATTCATGCCATTACACATGCTCAAAAACGTTCAAACTCGCCAAAACAAACACTTTTCATAACAACAAGCCAAACTCATCAAAAGAACACTAAAACAACAGCTTAACGCATTCATGCCATTACACATGCTCAAAAACGTTCAAACTCGCCAAAATAAACACTTTTCATAACAACAAGCCAAACTCATCAAAAGAACACTAAAACAACGGCTTAAAACATGGGATTACTAATTCAACACATTAACGCATGCTCAAAAACGTTCAAACTCGCCAAAACAAACACTTTTCATAACAACAAGCCAAACTCATCAAAAGAACACTAAAACAACAGCTTAACGGATTCATGCCATTACACATTCTCAAAAACGTTCAAACTCGCCAAAACAAACACTTTTCATAACAACAAGCCAAACTCATCATAAAGAACACTAAAACTACAGCTTAACGAATTCATGCCATTACACATGCTCAAAAACGTTCAAACTCGCCAAAACAAACACTTTCCATAACAATAAGACAAACTCATCAAAAGAACACTAAAACAACGGCTTAACACAAGGGATTACTAATTCAACACATTCATGCCATTACACATATTCAAAAACCTTCAAACTGGCCAAAACGAACAATGTTCATAACAACAAGCCAAAATCATCAAAAGAACACTAAAACAACAGCTTAACGCATTCATGCCATTACACATGCTCAAAAACCTTCAAACTGGCCAAAACGAACAATGTTCATAACAACAAGCCAAACTCATCATAAGAACACTAAAACAACAGCTTAACGCATTCATGCCATTACACATGCTCAAAAACGTTCAAACTCGCCAAGACAAACACTTTTCATAACAACAAGCCAAACTCATCAAAAGAACACTAAAACAACGTCTTAACACATGGGATTACTAATTCAACACATTCATGCCATTACACATGCTCAAAAACCTTCAAACTGGCCAAAACGAACAATGTTCATAACAACAAGCCAAACTCATCAAAAGAACACTAAAACAACAGCTTAACGCATTCATGCCATTACACATGCTCAAAAACGTTCAAACTCGCCAAAACAAACACTTTTCAAAACAACAAGCCAAACTCATCAAAAGAACACTAAAACAACAGCTTAACGCATTCATGCCATTACACATGCTCAAAAACGTTCAAACTCGCCACAATAAACACTTTTCATAGCAACAAGCCAAACTCATCAAAAGAACACTAAAACAACGTCTTAACACATGGGATTACTAATTCAACACATTAACGCCATTACACATGCTCAAAAACGTTCAAACTGGCCAAAACGAACAATGTTCATAACAACAAGCCAAACTCATCAAAAGAACACTAAAACAACAGCTTAACGAATCCTCACCATTACACATGCTCAAAAACCTTCAAACTGGCCAAAACGAACAATGTTCATAACAACAAGCCAAACTCATCAAAAGAACACTAAAACAACAGCTTAACGCATTCATGCCATTACACATGCTCAAAAACGTTCAAACTCGCCAAAACAAACACTTTTCATAACAACAAGCCAAACTCATCAAAAGAACACTAAAACAACAGCTTAACGCATTCATGCCATTACACATGCTCAAAAACGTTCAAACTCGCCAAAACAAACACTTTTCATAACAATAAGCCAAACTCATCAAAAGAACACTAAAACAACGGCTTAACACAAGGGATTACTAATTCAACACATTCATGCCATTAAACATGCTCAAAAACCTTCAAACTGGCCAAAACGAACAATGTTCATAACAACAAGCCAAACTCATCAAAAGAACACTAAAACAACAGCTTAACGCATTCATGCCATTACACATGCTCAAAAACCTTCAAACTGGCCAAAACGAACAATGTTCATAACAACAAGCCAAACTCATCATAAGAACACTAAAACAACAGCTTAACGCATTCATGCCATTACACATGCTCAAAAACCTTCAAACTGGCCAAAACGAACAATTTTCATAACAACAAGCCAAACTCATCAAAAGAACACTAAAACAACAGCTTAACGCATTCATGCCATTACACATGCTCAAAAACCTTCAAACTGGCCAAAACGAACAATGTTCATAACAACAAGCCAAACTCATCATAAGAACACTAAAACAACAGCTTAACGCATTCATGCCATTACACATGCTCAAAAACGTTCAAACTCGCCAAAACAAACACTTTTCATAACAATAAGCCAAACTCATCAAAAGAACACTAAAACAACGGCTTAACACAAGGGATTACTAATTCAACACATTCATGCCATTACACATGCTCAAAAACCTTCAAACTGGCCAAAACGAACAATGTTCATAACAACAAGCCAAACTCATCAAAAGAACACCAAAACAACAGCTTAACGCATTCATGCCATTACACATGCTCAAAAACGTTCAAACTCGCCAAAACAAACACTTTTCATAACAACAAGCCAAACTCATCACAAGAACACTAAAACAACAGCTTAACGCATTCATGCCATTACACATGCTCAAAAACCTTCAAACTGGCCAAAACAAACACTTTTCATAACAACAAGCCAAACTCATCAAAAGAACACTAAAACAACAGCTTAAAGCATTCATGCCATTACATATGCTCAAAAACGTTCAAACTCGCCAAAACAAACACTTTTCATAACAACAAGCCAAACTCATCAAAAGAACACTAAAACAACAGCTTAACGCATTCATGCCATTACACATGCTCAAAAACGTTCAAATTCGCCAAAACGAACAATGTTCATAACAACAAGCCAAACTCATCACAAGAACACTAAAACAACAGCTTAACGCATTCATGCCATTACACATGCTCAAAAACCTTCAAACTGGCCAAAACGAACAATGTTCATAACAACAAGCCAAACTCATCACAAGAACACTAAAACAACAGCTTAACGCATTCATGCCATTACACATGCTCAAAAACCTTCAAACTGGCCAAAACGAACAATGTTCATAACAACAAGCCAAACTCATCAAAAGAACACTAAAACAACAGCTTAACGCATTCATGCCATTACACATGCTCAAAAACCTTCAAACTGGCCAAAACGAACAATGTTCATAACAACAAGCCAAACTCATCATAAGAACACTAAAACAACAGCTTAACGCATTCATGCCATTACACATGCTCAAAAACGTTCAAACTCGCCAAAACAAACACTTTTCATAACAATAAGCCAAACTCATCAAAAGAACACTAAAACAACAGCTTAACGCATTCATGCCATTACACATGCTCAAAAACGTTCAAACTCGCCAAGACAAACACTTTTCATAACAACAAGCCAAACTCATCAAAAGAACACTAAAACAACGTCTTAACACATGGGATTACTAATTCAACACATTCATGCCATTACACATGCTCAAAAACCTTCAAACTGGCCAAAACGAACAATGTTCATAACAACAAGCCAAACTCATCAAAAGAACACTAAAACAACAGCTTAACGCATTCATGCCATTACACATGCTCAAAAACGTTCAAACTCGCCAAAACAAACACTTTTCAAAACAACAAGCCAAACTCATCAAAAGAACAGTAAAACAACAGCTTAACGCATTCATGCCATTACACATGCTCAAAAACGTTCAAACTCGCCACAATAAACACTTTTTATAGCAACAAGCCAAACTCATCAAAAGAACACTAAAACAACGTCTTAACACATGGGATTACTAATTCAACACATTAACGCCATTACACATGCTCAAAAACGTTCAAACTGGCCAAAACGAACAATGTTCATAACAACAAGCCAAACTCATCAAAAGAACACTAAAACAACAGCTTAACGAATCCTCACCATTACACATGCTCAAAAACCTTCAAACTGGCCAAAACGAACAATGTTCATAACAACAAGCCAAACTCATCAAAAGAACACTAAAACAACAGCTTAACGCATTCATGCCATTACACATGCTCAAAAACGTTCAAACTCGCCAAAACAAACACTTTTCATAACAACAAGCCAAACTCATCAAAAGAACACTAAAACAACAGCTTAACGCATTCATGCCATTACACATGCTCAAAAACGTTCAAACTCGCCAAAACAAACACTTTTCATAACAATAAGCCAAACTCATCAAAAGAACACTAAAACAACGTCTTAACACAAGGGATTACTAATTCAACACATTCATGCCATTAAACATGCTCAAAAACCTTCAAACTGGCCAAAACGAACAATGTTCATAACAACAAGCCAAACTCATCAAAAGAACACTAAAACAACAGCTTAACGCATTCATGCCATTACACATGCTCAAAAACCTTCAAACTGGCCAAAACGAACAATGTTCATAACAACAAGCCAAACTCATCACAAGAACACTAAAACAACAGCTTAACGCATTCATGCCATTACACATGCTCAAAAACCTTCAAACTGGCCAAAACGAACAATGTTCATAACAACAAGCCAAACTCATCAAAAGAACACTAAAACAACAGCTTAACGCATTCATGCCATTACACATGCTCAAAAACCTTCAAACTGGCCAAAACGAACAATGTTCATAACAACAAGCCAAACTCATCATAAGAACACTAAAACAACAGCTTAACGCATTCATGCCATTACACATGCTCAAAAACGTTCAAACTCGCCAAAACAAACACTTTTCATAACAATAAGCCAAACTCATCAAAAGAACACTAAAACAACGGCTTAACACAAGGGATTACTAATTCAACACATTCATGCCATTACACATGCTCAAAAACCTTCAAACTGGCCAAAACGAACAATGTTCATAACAACAAGCCAAACTCATCAAAAGAACACCAAAACAACAGCTTAACGCATTCATGCCATTACACATGCTCAAAAACGTTCAAACTCGCCAAAACAAACACTTTTCATAACAACAAGCCAAACTCATCACAAGAACACTAAAACAACAGCTTAACGCATTCATGCCATTACACATGCTCAAAAACCTTCAAACTGGCCAAAACAAACACTTTTCATAACAACAAGCCAAACTCATCAAAAGAACACTAAAACAACAGCTTAAAGCATTCATGCCATTACATATGCTCAAAAACGTTCAAACTCGCCAAAACAAACACTTTTCATAACAACAAGCCAAACTCATCAAAAGAACACTAAAACAACAGCTTAACGCATTCATGCCATTACACATGCTCAAAAACGTTCAAATTCGCCAAAACGAACAATGTTCATAACAACAAGCCAAACTCATCACAAGAACACTAAAACAACAGCTTAACGCATTCATGCCATTACACATGCTCAAAAACCTTCAAACTGGCCAAAACGAACAATGTTCATAACAACAAGCCAAACTCATCACAAGAACACTAAAACAACAGCTTAACGCATTCATGCCATTACACATGCTCAAAAACCTTCAAACTGGCCAAAACGAACAATGTTCATAACAACAAGCCAAACTCATCAAAAGAACACTAAAACAACAGCTTAACGCATTCATGCCATTACACATGCTCAAAAACCTTCAAACTGGCCAAAACGAACAATGTTCATAACAACAAGCCAAACTCATCATAAGAACACTAAAACAACAGCTTAACGCATTCATGCCATTACACATGCTCAAAAACGTTCAAACTCGCCAAAACAAACACTTTTCACAACAACAAGCCAAACTCAACAAAAGAACACCAAAACAACAGCTTAACGCATTCACACCATTACACATGCTCAAAAACGTTCAAACTCGCCAAAACAAACACTTTTCATAACAACAAGCCAAACTCATCAAAAGAACACTAAAACAACGGCTTAACACAAGGGATTACTAATTCAACACATTCATGCCATTACACATGCTCAAAAACGTTCAAACTCGCCAAAACAAACACTTTTCATAACAACAAGCCACACTCGTCAAAAGAACACTAAATAAACAGCTTAACGCATTCATGCCATTACACATGCTCAAAAACGTTCAAATTCGCCAAAACGAACAATGTTCATAACAACAAGCCAAACTCATCAAAAGAACACTAAAACAACAGCTTAACGCATTCATGCCATTACACATGCTCAAAAACGTTCAAACTCATCAAAACAAACACTTTTCACAACAACAAGCCAAACTCATCAAAAGAACACCAAAACAACAGCTTAACGGATTCATGCCATTACACATGCACAAAAACGTTCAAACTAGCCAAAACAAACACTTTTCATAACAACAAGCCAAACTCATCAAAAGAACACTAAAACAACAGCTTAACGCATTCATGCCATTACACATGCTCAAAAACGTTCAAACTCGCAAAAACAAACACCTTTCATAACAACAAGCCAAACTCATCAAAAGAACACTAAAACAACAGCTTAACACAAGGGATTACTAATTCAACACATTCATGCCATTACACATGCTCAAAAACCTTCAAACTTGCCAAAACGAACAATGTTCATAACAACAAGCCAAACTCATCATAAGAACACTAAAACAACAGCTTAACGCATTCATGCCATTACACATGCTCAAAAACGTTCAAACTCGCCAAAACAAACACTTTTCATAACAACAAGCCAATCTCATCAAAAGAACACTAAAACAACAGCTTAAAGCATTCATGCCATTACATATGCTCAAAAACGTTCAAACTCGCCAAAACAAACACTTTTCATAACAACAAGCCAAACTCATCAAAAGAACACTAAAACAACATCTTAACACAAGGGATTACTAATTCAACACATTCATGCCATTACACATGCTCAAAAACCTTCAAACTGGCCAAAACGAACAATGTTCATAACAACAAGCCAAACTCATCACAAGAACACTAAAACAACAGCTTAACGCATTCATGCCATTACACATGCTCAAAAACCTTCAAACTGGCCAAAACGAACAATGTTCATAACAACAAGCCAAACTCATCAAAAGAACACTAAAACAACAGCTTAACGCATTCATGCCATTACACATGCTCAAAAACCTTCAAACTGGCCAAAACGAACAATGTTCATAACAACAAGCCAAACTCATCATAAGAACACTAAAACAACAGCTTAACGCATTCATGCCATTACACATGCTCAAAAACGTTCAAACTCGCCAAAACAAACACTTTTCATAACAATAAGCCAAACTCATCAAAAGAACACTAAAACAACGGCTTAACACAAGGGATTACTAATTCAACACATTCATGCCATTACACATGCTCAAAAACCTTCAAACTGGCCAAAACGAACAATGTTCATAACAACAAGCCAAACTCATCAAAAGAACACCAAAACAACAGCTTAACGCATTCATGCCATTACACATGCTCAAAAACGTTCAAACTCGCCAAAACAAACACTTTTCACAACAACAAGCCAAACTCAACAAAAGAACACCAAAACAACAGCTTAACGCATTCATGCCATTACACATGCTCAAAAACGTTCAAACTCGCCAAAACAAACACTTTTCATAACAACAAGCCAAACTCATCAAAAGAACACTAAAACAACGGCTTAACACAAGGGATTACTAATTCAACACATTCATGCCATTACACATGCTCAAAAACGTTCAAACTCGCCAAAACAAACACTTTTCATAACAACAAGCCACACTCGTCAAAAGAACACTAAAAATACAGCTTAACGCATTCATGCCATTACACATGCTCAAAAACGTTCAAATTCGCCAAAACGAACAATGTTCATAACAACAAGCCAAACTCATCACAAGAACACTAAAACAACAGCTTAACGCATTCATGCCATTACACATGCTCAAAAACGTTCAAACTCATCAAAACAAACACTTTTCACAACAACAAGCCAAACTCATCAAAAGAACACCAAAACAACAGCTTAACGGATTCATGCCATTACACATGCACAAAAACGTTCAAACTCGCCAAAACAAACACTTTTCATAACAACAAGCCAAACTCATCAAAAGAACACTAAAACAACAGCTTAACGCATTCATGCCATTACACATGCTCAAAAACGTTCAAACTCGCAAAAACAAACACCTTTCATAACAACAAGCCAAACTCATCAAAAGAACACTAAAACAACAGCTTAACACAAGGGATTACTAATTCAACACATTCATGCCATTACACATGCTCAAAAACCTTCAAACTTGCCAAAACGAACAATGTTCATAACAACAAGCCAAACTCATCATAAGAACACTAAAACAACAGCTTAACGCATTCATGCCATTACACATGCTCAAAAACGTTCAAACTCGCCAAAACAAACACTTTTCATAACAACAAGCCAATCTCATCAAAAGAACACTAAAACAACAGCTTAAAGCATTCATGCCATTACATATGCTCAAAAACGTTCAAACTCGCCAAAACAAACACTTTTCATAACAACAAGCCAAACTCATCAAAAGAACACTAAAACAACATCTTAACACAAGGGATTACTAATTCAACACATTCATGCCATTACACATGCTCAAAAACGTTCAAACTGGCCAAAACGAACAATGTTCATTAACAACAAGCCAAACTCATCATAAGAACACTAAAACAACAGCTTAACACATTCATGCCATTACACATGCTCAAAAACGTTCAAACTCGCCAAAACAAACACTTTTCATAACAATAAGCCAAACTCATCAAAAGAACACTAAAACAACGGCTTAACACAAGGGATTACTAATTCAACACATTCATGCCATTACACATGCTCAGAAACCTTCAAACTGGCCAAAACGAACAATGTTCATAACAACAAGCCAAACTCATCAAAAGAACACCAAAACAACAGCTTAACGCATTCATGCCATTACACATGCTCAAAAACGTTCAAACTCGCCAAAACAAACACTTTTCATAACAACAAGCCAAACTCATCAAAAGAACACTAAAACAACAGCTTAACGCATTCATGCCATTACACATGCTCAAAAACGTTCAAATTCGCCATAACGAACAATGTTCATAACAACAAGCCAAACTCATCACAAGAACACTAAAACAACAGCTTAACGCATTCATGCCATTACACATGCTCAAAAACGTTCAAACTCGCCAAAACAAACACTTTTCACAACAACAAGCCAAACTCAACAAAAGAACACCAAAACAACAGCTTAACGCATTCATGCCATTACACATGCTCAAAAACGTTCAAACTCGCCAAAACAAACACTTTTCATAACAACAAGCCAAACTCATCAAAAGAACACTAAAACAACGGCTTAACACAAGGGATTACTAATTCAACACATTCATGCCATTACACATGCTCAAAAACGTTCAAACTCGCCAAAACAAACACTTTTCATAACAACAAGCCACACTCGTCAAAAGAACACTAAAACAACAGCTTAACGCATTCATGCCATTACACATGCTCAAAAACGTTCAAATTCGCCAAAACGAACAATGTTCATAACAACAAGCCAAACTCATCAAAAGAACACTAAAACAACATCTTAACACAAGGGATTACTAATTCAACACATTCATGCCATTACACATGCTCAAAAACGTTCAAACTGGCCAAAACGAACAATGTTCATTAACAACAAGCCAAACTCATCAAAAGAACACTAAAACAACAGCTTAACGCATTCATGCCATTACACATGCTCAAAAACCTTCAAACTGGCCAAAACGAACAATGTTCATAACAACAAGCCAAACTCATCAAAAGAACACTAAAACAACAGCTTATCGCATTCATGCCATTACACATGCTCAAAAACCTTCAAACTGGCCAAAACGAACAATGTTCATAACAACAAGCCAAACTCATCAAAAGAACACTAAAACAACAGCTTAACGCATTCATGCCTATTACACATGCTCAAAAACCTTCAAACTGGCCAAAACGAACAATGTTCATAACAACAAGCCAAACTCATCAAAAGAACACTAAAACAACAGCTTAACGCATTCATGCCATTACACATGCTCAAAAACGTTCAAACTCGCCAAAACAAACACTTTTCATAACAACAAGCCAAACTCAACAAAAGAACACCAAAACAACAGCTTAACGCATTCATGCCATTACACATGCTCAAAAACGTTCAAACTCGCCAAAACAAACACTTTTCATAACAACAAGCCAAACTCATCAAAAGAACACTAAAACAACGGCTTAACACAAGGGATTACTAATTCAACACATTCATGCCATTACACATGCTCAAAAACGTTCAAACTCGCCAAAACAAACACTTTTCATAACAACAAGCCAAACTCATCAAAAGAACACTAAATAAACAGCTTAACGCATTCATGCCATTACACATGCTCAAAAACGTTCAAATTCGCCAAAACGAACAATGTTCATAACAACAAGCCAAACTCATCACAAGAACACTAAAACAACAGCTTAACGCATTCATGCCATTACACATGCTCAAAAACGTTCAAACTCATCAAAACAAACACTTTTCACAACAACAAGCCAAACTCATCAAAAGAACACCAAAACAACAGCTTAACGGATTCATGCCATTACACATGCACAAAAACGTTCAAACTCGCCAAAACAAACACTTTTCATAACAACAAGCCAAACTCATCAAAAGAACACTAAAACAACAGCTTAACGCATTCATGCCATTACACATGCTCAAAAACGTTCAAACTCGCAAAAACAAACACCTTTCATAACAACAAGCCAAACTCATCAAAAGAACACTAAAACAACAGCTTAACACAAGGGATTACTAATTCAACACATTCATGCCATTACACATGCTCAAAAACCTTCAAACTTGCCAAAACGAACAATGTTCATAACAACAAGCCAAACTCATCATAAGAACACTAAAACAACAGCTTAACGCATTCATGCCATTACACATGCTCAAAAACGTTCAAACTCGCCAAAACAAACACTTTTCATAACAACAAGCCAAATCTCATCAAAAGAACACTAAAACAACAGCTTAAAGCATTCATGCCATTACATATGCTCAAAAACGTTCAAACTCGCCAAAACAAACACTTTTCATAACAACAAGCCAAACTCATCAAAAGAACACTAAAACAACATCTTAACACAAGGGATTACTAATTCAACACATTCATGCCATAACACATGCTAAAAAACCTTCAAACTGGCCAAAACGAACAATGTTCATAACAACAAGCCAAACTCATCAAAAGAACACTAAAACAACAGCTTAACGCATTCATGCCATTACACATGATCAAAAACGTTCAAATTCGCCAAAACAAACACTTTTCATAACAACAAGCCAAACTCATCAAAAGAACACAAATTCAACACATTCATGCTATTACACATGCTAAAAAACCTTCAAACTGGCCAAAACGAACAATGTTCATAACAACAAGCCAAACTCATCATAAGAACACTAAAACAACAGCTTAACGCATTCATGCCATTACACATGCTAAAAAACGTTCAAACTCGCCAAAAACAAACACTTTTCATAACAACAAGCCAAAGTCATCAATAGAACACTAAAACAACGGCTTAACACAAGGGATTACTAATTCAACACATTCATGGTATTACACATGCTAAAAAACCTTCAAACTGGCCAAAACGAACAATGTTCATAACAACAAGCCAAACTCATCATAAGAACACTAAAACAACAGCTTAACGCATTCATGCCATTACACATGCTAAAAAACGTTCAAACTCGCAAAAACAAACACTTTTCATAACAACAAGCCAAAGTCATCAATAGAACACTAAAACAACGGCTTAACACAAGGGATTACTAATTCAACACATTCATGCCATTACACATGCTAAAAAACCTTCAAACTGGCCAAAACGAACAATGTTCATAACAACAAGCCAAAGTCATCATAAGAACACTAAAACAACAGCTTAACGCATTCATGCCATTACACATGCTAAAAAACGTTCAAACTCGCAAAAACAAACACTTTTCATAACAACAAGCCAAAGTCATCAAAAGAACACTAAAACAACGGCTTAACACAAGGGATTACTAATTCAACACATTCATGCTATTACACATGCTAAAAAACCTTCAAACTGGCCAAAACGAACAATGTTCATAACAACAAGCCAAACTCATCATAAGAACACTAAAACAACAGCTTAACGCATTCATGCCATTACACATGCTAAAAAACGTTCAAACTCGCAAAAACAAACACTTTTCATAACAACAAGCCAAAGTCATCAATAAGAACACTAAAACAACAGCTTAACGCATTCATGCCATTACACATGCTCAAAAACCTTCAAACTGGCCAAAACGAACAATGTTCAGAACAACAAGCCAAACTCATCAACAGAACACTAAAACAACAGCTTAACGCATTCATGCCATTACACATGCTCAAAAACCTTCAAACTCGCCAAAACAAACACTTTTCATAACAACAAGCCAAACTCATCAAAAGAATACTAAAACAACAGCTTAACACAAGGGATTACTAATTCAACACATTCATGCTATTACACATGCTAAAAAACCTTCAAACTGGCCAAAACGAACAATGTTCATAACAACAAGCCAAACTCATCATAAGAACACTAAAACAACAGCTTAACGCATTCATGCCATTACACATGCTAAAAAACGTTCAAACTCGCAAAAACAAACACTTTTCATAACAACAAGCCAAAGTCATCAATAGAACACTAAAACAACGGCTTAACACAAGGGATTACTAATTCAACACATTCATGCTATTACACATGCTAAAAACCTTCAAACTGGCCAAAACGAACAATGTTCATAACAACAAGCCAAACTCATCATAAGAACACTAAAACAACAGCTTAACGCATTCATGCCATTACACATGCTAAAAAACGTTCAAACTCGCCAAAACAAACACTTTTCATAACAACAAGCCAAAGTCATCAATAGAACACTAAAACAACGGCTTAACACAAGGGATTACTAATTCAACACATTCATGCTATTACACATGCTAAAAAACCTTCAAACTGGCCAAAACGAACAATGTTCATAACAACAAGCCAAAGTCATCATAAGAACACTAAAACAACAGCTTAACGCATTCATGCCATTACACATGCTAAAAAACGTTCAAACTCGCCAAAACAAACACTTTTCATAACAACAAGCCAAAGTCATCAAAAGAACACTAAAACAACGGCTTAACACAAGGGATTACTAATTCAACACATTCATGCTATTACACATGCTAAAAAACCTTCAAACTGGCCAAAACGAACAATGTTCATAACAACAAGCCAAACTCATCATAAGAACACTAAAACAACAGCTTAACGCATTCATGCCATTACACATGCTCAAAAACGTTCAAACTCGCAAAACAAACACTTTTCATAACAACAAGCCAAACTCATCAATAAGAACACTAAAACAACAGCTTAACGCATTCATGCCATTACACATGCTCAAAAACCTTCAAACTGGCCAAAACGAACAATGTTCATAACAACAAGCCAAACTCATCAACAGAACACTAAAACAACAGCTTAACGCATTCATGCCATTACACATGCTCAAAAACCTTCAAACTCGCCAAAACAAACACTTTTCATAACAACAAGCCAAACTCATCAAAAGAACACTAAAACAACAGCTTAACACAAGGGATTACTAATTCAACACATTCATGCCATTACACATGCTAAAAAACCTTCAAACTGGCCAAAACGAACAATGTTCATAACAACAAGCCAAACTCATCATAAGAACACTAAAACAACAGCTTAACGCATTCATGCCATTACACATGCTAAAAAACGTTCAAACTCGCCAAAACAAACACTTTTCATAACAACAAGCCAAAGTCATCAAAAGAACACTAAAACAACGGCTTAACACAAGGGATTACTAATTCAACACATTCATGCCATTACATGCTAAAAAACCTTCAAACTGGCCAAAACGAACAATGTTCATAACAACAAGCCAAACTCATCAACAGAACACTAAAACAACAGCTTAACGCATTCATGCCATTACACATGCTCAAAAACCTTCAAACTCGCCAAAACAAACACTTTTCATAACAACAAGCCAAACTCATCAAAAGAACACTAAAACAACAGCTTAACACAAGGGATTACTAATTCAACACATTCATGCCATTACACATGCTCAAAAACGAACACTTTTCATAACAACAAGCCCAACTCATCAAAAGAACACTAAAACAACAACTTTAACGCATTCATGCCATTACACATGCTAAAAAACGTTCAAACTCGCCAAAACAAACACTTTTCATAACAACAAGCCAAAGTCATCAAAAGAACACTAAAACAACGGCTTAACACAAATTCAACACATTCATGCTATTACACATGCTAAAAACCTTCAAACTGGCCAAAACGAACAATATTCATAACAACAAGCCAAACTCATCATAAGAACACTAAAACAACAGCTTAACGCATTCATGCCATTACACATGCTAAAAAACGTTCAAACTCGCAAAAACAAACACTTTTCATAACAACAAGCCAAAGTCATCAATAGAACACTAAAACAACGGCTTAACACAAGGGATTACTAATTCAACACATTCATGCATTACGCATGCTAAAAAACCTTCAAACTGGCCAAAACGAACATTGTTCATAACAACAAGCCAAACTCATCATAAGAACACTAAAACAACAGCTTAACGCATTCATGCCATTACACATGCTAAAAAACGTTCAAACTCGCAAAAACAAACACTTTTCATAACAACAAGCCAAAGTCATCAATAGAACACTAAAACAACAGCTTAACGCATTCATGCCATTACACATGCTCAAAAACCTTCAAACTCGCCAAAACAAACACTTTTCATAACAACAAGCCAAACTCATCAAAAGAACACTAAAACAAAAGCTTAACACAAGGGATTACTAATTCAACACATTCATGCTATTACACATGCTCAAAAACCTTCAAACTGGCCAAAACGAACAATGTTCATAACAACAAGCCAAACTCATCAACAGAACACTAAAACAACAGCTTAACGCATTCATGCCATTACACATGCTCAAAAACCTTCAAACTCGCCAAAACAAACACTTTTCATAACAACAAGCCAAACTCATCAAAAGAACACTAAAACAACAGCTTAACACAAGGGATTACTAATTCAAAACATTCATGCCATTACACATGCTCAAAAGCGTTCAAACTGGCCAAAACGAACAATGTTCATAACAACAAGCCAAACTCATCAAACAAACACTAAAACAACAGCTTAATGCATTCATGCCATTACACATGCTCAAAAACGTTCAAACTCGCCAAAACGAACACTTTTCATAACAACAAGCCAACTCATCAAAAGAACACTAAAACAACAGCTTTATCGCATTCATGCCATTACACATGCTAAAAAACGTTCAAACTCGCAAAAACAAACACTTTTCATAACAACAAGCCAAACTCATCAAAAGAACACTAAAACAACAGCTTAACGCATTCATGCCATTACACATGCTAAAAAACGTTCAAACTCGCAAAAACAAACACTTTTCATAACAACAAGCCAAAGTCATCAATAGAACACTAAAACAACGGCTTAACACAAGGGATTACTAATTCAACACATTCATGCTATTACACATGCTAAAAAACCTTCAAACTGGCCAAAACGAACAATGTTCATAACAACAAGCCAAACTCATCATAAGAACACTAAAACAACAGCTTAACGCATTCATGCCATTACACATGCTCAAAAACGTTCAAACTCGCCAAAACAAACACTTTTCATAACAACAAGCCAATCTCATCAAAAGAACACTAAAACAACAGCTTAAAGCATTCATGCCATTACATATGCTCAAAAACGTTCAAACTCGCCAAAACAAACACTTTTCATAACAACAAGCCAAACTCATCAAAAGAACACTAAAACAACATCTTAACACAAGGGATTACTAATTCAACACATTCATGCCATTACACATGCTAAAAAACCTTCAAACTGGCCAAAACGAACAATGTTCATAACAACAAGCCAAACTCATCAAAAGAACACTAAAACAACAGCTTAACGCATTCATGCCATTACACATGCTCAAAAACGTTCAAATTCGCCAAAACGAACAATGTTCATAACAACAAGCCAAACTCATCAAAAGAACACTAAAACAACATCTTAACACAAGGGATTACTAATTCAACACATTCATGCCATTACACATGCTCAAAAACGTTCAAACTGGCCAAAACGAACAATGTTCATTAACAACAAGCCAAACTCATCAAAAGAACACTAAAACAACAGCTTAACGCATTCATGCCATTACACATGCTCAAAAACCTTCAAACTGGCCAAAACGAACAATGTTCATAACAACAAGCCAAACTCATCAAAAGAACACTAAAACAACAGCTTATCGCATTCATGCCATTACACATGCTCAAAAACCTTCAAACTGGCCAAAACGAACAATGTTCATAACAACAAGCCAAACTCATCAAAAGAACACTAAAACAACAGCTTAACGCATTCATGCCATTACACATGCTCAAAAACCTTCAAACTGGCCAAAACGAACAATGTTCATAACAACAAGCCAAACTCATCAAAAGAACACCAAAACAACAGCTTAACGCATTCATGCCATTACACATGCTCAAAAACGTTCAAACTCGCCAAAACAAACACTTTTCACAACAACAAGCCAAACTCAACAAAAGAACACCAAAACAACAGCTTAACGCATTCATGCCATTACACATGCTCAAAAACGTTCAAACTCGCCAAAACAAACACTTTTCATAACAACAAGCCAAACTCATCAAAAGAACACTAAAACAACGGCTTAACACAAGGGATTACTAATTCAACACATTCATGCCATTACACATGCTCAAAAACGTTCAAACTCGCCAAAACAAACACTTTTCATAACAACAAGCCACACTCATCAAAAGAACACTAAATAAACAGCTTAACGCATTCATGCCATTACACATGCTCAAAAACGTTCAAACTCGCCAAAACGAACAATGTTCATAACAACAAGCCAAACTCATCACAAGAACACTAAAACAACAGCTTAACGCATTCATGCCATTACACATGCTCAAAAACGTTCAAACTCATCAAAACAAACACTTTTCACAACAACAAGCCAAACTCATCAAAAGAACACCAAAACAACAGCTTAACGGATTCATGCCATTACACATGCACAAAAACGTTCAAACTCGCCAAAACAAACACTTTTCATAACAACAAGCCAAACTCATCAAAAGAACACTAAAACAACAGCTTAACGCATTCATGCCATTACACATGCTCAAAAACGTTCAAACTCGCAAAAACAAACACTTTTCATAACAACAAGCCAAACTCATCAAAAGAACACTAAAACAACAGCTTAACACAAGGGATTACTAATTCAACACATTCATGCCATTACACATGCTCAAAAACCTTCAAACTGGCCAAAACGAACAATGTTCATAACAACAAGCCAAACTCATCATAAGAACACTAAAACAACAGCTTAACGCATTCATGCCATTACACATGCTCAAAAACGTTCAAACTCGCCAAAACAAACACTTTTCATAACAACAAGCCAATCTCATCAAAAGAACACTAAAACAACAGCTTAAAGCATTCATGCCATTACATATGCTCAAAAACGTTCAAACTCGCCAAAACAAACACTTTTCATAACAACAAGCCAAACTCATCAAAAGAACACTAAAACAACATCTTAACACAAGGGATTACTAATTCAACACATTCATGCCATTACACATGCTAAAAAACCTTCAAACTGGCCAAAACGAACAATGTTCATAACAACAAGCCAAACTCATCAAAAGAACACTAAAACAACAGCTTAACGCATTCATGCCATTACACATGATCAAAAACGTTCAAATTCGCCAAAACAAACACTTTTCATAACAACAAGCCAAACTCATCAAAAGAACACAAATTCAACACATTCATGCTATTACACATGCTAAAAAACCTTCAAACTGGCCAAAACGAACAATGTTCATAACAACAAGCCAAACTCATCATAAGAACACTAAAACAACAGCTTAACGCATTCATGCCATTACACATGCTAAAAAACGTTCAAACTCGCAAAACAAACACTTTTCATAACAACAAGCCAAACTCATCAAAAGAACACTAAAACAACGGCTTAACACAAGGGATTACTAATTCAACACATTCATGCCATTACACATGCTCAAAAACCTTCAAACTGGCCAAAACGAACAATGTTCATAACAACAAGCCAAACTCATCAAAAGAACACTAAAACAACAGCTTAACGCATTCATGCCATTACACATGCTCAAAAACGTTCAAACTCGCCAAAACAAACACTTTTCATAACAACAAGCCAAACTCATCAAAAGAACACTAAAACAACGGCTTAACACAAGGGATTACTAATTCAACACATTCATGCCATTACACATGCTAAAAAACCTTCAAACTGGCCAAAACGAACAATGTTCATAACAACAAGCCAAACTCATCATAAGAACACTAAAACAACAGCTTAACGCATTCATGCCATTACACATGCTCAAAAACGTTCAAACTCGCCAAAACAAACACTTTTCATAACAACAAGCCAAACTCATCAAAAGAACACTAAAACAACGGCTTAACACAAGGGATTACTAATTCAACACATTCATGCCATTACACATGCTCAAAAACCTTCAAACTGGCCAAAACGAACAATGTTCATAACAACAAGCCAAACTCATCAAAAGAACACTAAAACAACAGCTTAACGCATTCATGCCATTACACATGCTAAAAAACGTTCAAACTCGCCAAAACAAACACTTTTCATAACAACAAGCCAAACTCATCAAAAGAACACTAAAACAACAGCTTAACGCATTCATGCCATTACACATGCTCAAAAACCTTCAAACTGGCCAAAACGAACAATGTTCATAACAACAAGCCAAACTCATCAAAAGAACACTAAAACAACAGCTTAACGCATTCATGCCATTACACATGCTCAAAAACCTTCAAACTCGCCAAAACAAACACTTTTCATAACAACAAGCCAAACTCATCAAAAGAATACTAAAACAACAGCTTAACACAAGGGATTACTAATTCAACACATTCATGCCATTACACATGCTAAAAAACCTTCAAACTGGCCAAAACGAACAATGTTCATAACAACAAGCCAAACTCATCAAAAGAACACTAAAACAACAGCTTAACGCATTCATGCCATTACACATGCTCAAAAACGTTCAAACTCGCCAAAACAAACACTTTTCATAACAACAAGCCAAACTCATCAATAGAACACTAAAACAACGGCTTAACACAAGGGATTACTAATTCAACACATTCATGCTATTACACATGCTAAAAAACCTTCAAACTGGCCAAAACGAACAATGTTCATAACAACAAGCCAAACTCATCATAAGAACACTAAAACAACAGCTTAACGCATTCATGCCATTACACATGCTAAAAAACGTTCAAACTCGCCAAAACAAACACTTTTCATAACAACAAGCCAAAGTCATCAATAGAACACTAAAACAACGGCTTAACACAAGGGATTACTAATTCAACACATTCATGCTATTACACATGCTAAAAAACCTTCAAACTGGCCAAAACGAACAATGTTCATAACAACAAGCCAAAGTCATCATAAGAACACTAAAACAACAGCTTAACGCATTCATGCCATTACACATGCTAAAAAACGTTCAAACTCGCAAAAACAAACACTTTTCATAACAACAAGCCAAAGTCATCAATAGAACACTAAAACAACGGCTTAACACAAGGGATTACTAATTCAACACATTCATGCCATTACACATGCTCAAAAACCTTCAAACTGGCCAAAACGAACAATGTTCATAACAACAAGCCAAACTCATCAAAAGAACACTAAAACAACAGCTTAACGCATTCATGCCATTACACATGCTAAAAAACGTTCAAACTCGCCAAAACAAACACTTTTCATAACAACAAGCCAAACTCATCAAAAGAACACTAAAACAACAGCTTAACGCATTCATGCCATTACACATGCTCAAAAACCTTCAAACTGGCCAAAACGAACAATGTTCATAACAACAAGCCAAACTCATCAAAAGAACACTAAAACAACAGCTTAACGCATTCATGCCATTACACATGCTCAAAAACCTTCAAACTCGCCAAAACAAACACTTTTCATAACAACAAGCCAAACTCATCAAAAGAACACTAAAACAACAGCTTAACACAAGGGATTACTAATTCAACACATTCATGCCATTACACATGCTCAAAAACCTTCAAACTGGCCAAAACGAACAATGTTCATAACAACAAGCCAAACTCATCAAAAGAACACTAAAACAACAGCTTAACGCATTCATGCCATTACACATGCTCAAAAACGTTCAAACTCGCCAAAACAAACACTTTTCATAACAACAAGCCAAACTCATCAAAAGAACACTAAAACAACGGCTTAACACAAGGGATTACTAATTCAACACATTCATTACACATGCTCAAAAACCTTCAAACTGGCCAAAACGAACAATGTTCATAACAACAAGCCAAACTCATCAAAAGAACACTAAAACAACAGCTTAACGCATTCATGCCATTACACATGCTCAAAAACGTTCAAACTCGCCAAAACAAACACTTTTCATAACAACAAGCCAAACTCATCAAAAGAACACTAAAACAACAGCTTAACACAAGGGATTACTAATTCAACACATTCATGCCATTACACATGCTCAAAAACGAACACTTTTCATAACAACAAGCCAAACTCATCAAAAGAACACTAAAACAACAGCTTAACGCATTCATGCCATTACACATGCTCAAAAACGTTCAAACTCGCCAAAACAAACACTTTTCATAACAACAAGCCAAACTCATCAAAAGAACACTAAAACAACGGCTTAACACAAATTCAACACATTCATGCCATTACACATGCTCAAAAACCTTCAAACTGGCCAAAACGAACAATGTTCATAACAACAAGCCAAACTCATCAAAAGAACACTAAAACAACAGCTTAACGCATTCATGCCATTACACATGCTCAAAAACGTTCAAACTCGCCAAAACAAACACTTTTCATAACAACAAGCCAAACTCATCAAAAGAACACTAAAACAACGGCTTAACACAAGGGATTACTAATTCAACACATTCATGCCATTACACATGCTCAAAAACTTCAAACTGGCCAAAACGAACATTGTTCATAACAACAAGCCAAACTCATCAAAAGAACACTAAAACAACAGCTTAACGCATTCATGCCATTACACATGCTCAAAAACGTTCAAACTCGCCAAAACAAACACTTTTCATAACAACAAGCCAAACTCATCAAAAGAACACTAAAACAACAGCTTAACGCATTCATGCCATTACACATGCTCAAAAACGTTCAAACTCGCCAAAACAAACACTTTTCATAACAACAAGCCAAACTCATCAAAAGAACACTAAAACAAAGCTTAACACAAGGGATTACTAATTCAACACATTCATGCCATTACACATGCTCAAAAACCTTCAAACTGGCCAAAACGAACAATGTTCATAACAACAAGCCAAACTCATCAAAGAACACTAAAACAACAGCTTAACGCATTCATGCCATTACACATGCTCAAAAACGTTCAAACTCGCCAAAACAAACACTTTTCATAACAACAAGCCAAACTCATCAAAAGAACACTAAAACAACAGCTTAACACAAGGGATTACTAATTCAAACATTCATGCCATTACACATGCTCAAAAACGTTCAAACTGGCCAAAACGAACAATGTTCATAACAACAAGCCAAACTCATCAAAAGAACACTAAAACAACAGCTTAACGCATTCATGCCATTACACATGCTCAAAAACGTTCAAACTCGCCAAAACGAACACTTTTCATAACAACAAGCCAAACTCATCAAAAGAACACTAAAACAACAGCTTTAACGCATTCATGCCATTACACATGCTCAAAAACGTTCAAACTCGCCAAAACAAACACTTTTCATAACAACAAGCCAAACTCATCAAAAGAACACTAAAACAACAGCTTAACGCATTCATGCCATTACACATGCTCAAAAACGTTCAAACTCGCCAAAACAAACACTTTTCATAACAACAAGCCAAACTCATCAAAAGAACACTAAAACAACAGCTTAACACAAGGGATTACTAATTCAACACATTCATGCATTACACATGCTCAAAAACCTTCAAACTGGCCAAAACGAACAATGTTCATAACAACAAGCCAAACTCATCATAAGAACACTAAAACAACAGCTTAACGCATTCATGCCATTACACATGCTCAAAAACGTTCAAACTCGCCAAAACAAACACTTTTCATAACAACAAGCCAAACTCATCAAAAGAACACTAAAACAACAGCTTAAAGCATTCATGCCATTACACATGCTCAAAAACGTTCAAACTCGCCAAAACAAACACTTTTCATAACAACAAGCCAAACTCATCAAAAGAACACTAAAACAAACTTAACACAAGGGATTACTAATTAACACATTCATGCCATTACACATGCTCAAAAACCTTCAAACTGGCCAAAACGAACAATGTTCATAACAACAAGCCAAACTCATCAAAAGAACACTAAAACAACAGCTTAACGCATTCATGCCATTACACATGATCAAAAACGTTCAAATTCGCCAAAACAAACACTTTTCATAACAACAAGCCAAACTCATCAAAAGAACACAAATTCAACACATTCATGCTATTACACATGCTAAAAAACCTTCAAACTGGCCAAAACGAACAATGTTCATAACAACAAGCCAAACTCATCATAAGAACACTAAAACAACAGCTTAACGCATTCATGCCATTACACATGCTAAAAAACGTTCAAACTCGCAAAAACAAACACTTTTCATAACAACAAGCCAAAGTCATCAATAGAACACTAAAACAACGGCTTAACACAAGGGATTACTAATTCAACACATTCATGTATTACACATGCTAAAAAACCTTCAAACTGGCCAAAACGAACAATGTTCATAACAACAAGCCAAACTCATCATAAGAACACTAAAACAACAGCTTAACGCATTCATGCCATTACACATGCTAAAAAACGTTCAAACTCGCAAAAACAAACACTTTTCATAACAACAAGCCAAAGTCATCAATAGAACACTAAAACAACGGCTTAACACAAGGGATTACTAATTCAACACATTCATGCTATTACACATGCTAAAAAACCTTCAAACTGGCCAAAACGAACAATGTTCATAACAACAAGCCAAAGTCATCATAAGAACACTAAAACAACAGCTTAACGCATTCATGCCATTACACATGCTAAAAAACGTTCAAACTCGCAAAAACAAACACTTTTCATAACAACAAGCCAAAGTCATCAATAGAACACTAAAACAACGGCTTAACACAAGGGATTACTAATTCAACACATTCATGCTATTACACATGCTAAAAAACCTTCAAACTGGCCAAAACGAACAATGTTCATAACAACAAGCCAAACTCATCATAAGAACACTAAAACAACAGCTTAACGCATTCATGCCATTACACATGCTAAAAAACGTTCAAACTCGCAAAAACAAACACTTTTCATAACAACAAGCCAAAGTCATCAATAAGAACACTAAAACAACAGCTTAACGCATTCATGCCATTACACATGCTCAAAAACCTTCAAACTGGCCAAAACGAACAATGTTCAGAACAACAAGCCAAACTCATCAACAGAACACTAAAACAACAGCTTAACGCATTCATGCCATTACACATGCTCAAAAACCTTCAAACTCGCCAAAACAAACACTTTTCATAACAACAAGCCAAACTCATCAAAAGAATACTAAAACAACAGCTTAACACAAGGGATTACTAATTCAACACATTCATGCTATTACACATGCTAAAAAACCTTCAAACTGGCCAAAACGAACAATGTTCATAACAACAAGCCAAACTCATCATAAGAACACTAAAACAACAGCTTAACGCATTCATGCCATTACACATGCTAAAAAACGTTCAAACTCGCAAAAACAAACACTTTTCATAACAACAAGCCAAAGTCATCAATAGAACACTAAAACAACGGCTTAACACAAGGGATTACTAATTCAACACATTCATGCTATTACACATGCTAAAAAACCTTCAAACTGGCCAAAACGAACAATGTTCATAACAACAAGCCAAACTCATCATAAGAACACTAAAACAACAGCTTAACGCATTCATGCCATTACACATGCTCAAAAACGTTCAAACTCGCCAAAACAAACACTTTTCATAACAACAAGCCAAACTCATCAAAAGAACACTAAAACAACGGCTTAACACAAGGGATTACATTCACACCATTACACATGCATTACACATGCTAAAAACCTTCAAACTGGCCAAAACGAACAATGTTCATAACAACAAGCCAAAGTCATCAAAGAACACTAAAACAACAGCTTAACGCATTCATGCCATTACACATGCTCAAAAACGTTCAAACTCGCCAAAACAAACACTTTTCATAACAACAAGCCAAAGTCATCAAAAGAACACTAAAACAACAGCTTAACACAAGGGATTACTAATTCAACACATTCATGCCATTACACATGCTCAAAAACCTTCAAACTGGCCAAAACGAACAATGTTCATAACAACAAGCCAAACTCATCATAAGAACACTAAAACAACAGCTTAACGCATTCATGCCATTACACATGCTCAAAAACGTTCAAACTCGCAAAAACAAACACTTTTCATAACAACAAGCCAAAGTCATCAATAAGAACACTAAAACAACAGCTTAACGCATTCATGCCATTACACATGCTCAAAAACCTTCAAACTGGCCAAAACGAACAATGTTTCAGAACAACAAGCCAAACTCATCAACAGAACACTAAAACAACAGCTTAACGCATTCATGCCATTACACATGCTCAAAAACCTTCAAACTCGCCAAAACAAACACTTTTCATAACAACAAGCCAAACTCATCAAAAGAACACTAAAACAACAGCTTAACACAAGGGATTACTAATTCAACACATTCATGCATTACACATGCTAAAAAACCTTCAAACTGGCCAAAACGAACAATGTTCATAACAACAAGCCAAACTCATCAAAGAACACTAAAACAACAGCTTAACGCATTCATGCCATTACACATGCTCAAAAACGTTCAAACTCGCCAAAACAAACACTTTTCATAACAACAAGCCAAACTCATCAAAAGAACACTAAAACAACAGCTTAACACAAGGGATTACTAATTCAACACATTCATGTGTAATAACACATGCTAAAAAACCTTCAAACTGGCCAAAACGAACAATGTTCATAACAACAAGCCAAACTCATCAAAAGAACACTAAAACAACAGCTTAACGCATTCATGCCATTACACATGCTCAAAAACCTTCAAACTCGCCAAAACAAACACTTTTCATAACAACAAGCCAAACTCATCAAAAGAACACTAAAACAACAGCTTAACACAAGGGATTTAATTCAACACATTCATGCCATTACATGCTAAAAACCTTCAAACTGGCCAAAACGAACACTTTTCATAACAACAAGCCAAACTCATCAAAAGAACACTAAAACAACAGCTTTAACGCATTCATGCCATTACACATGCTAAAAAACGTTCAAACTCGCAAAAACAAACACTTTTCATAACAACAAGCCAAAGTCATCAATAGAACACTAAAACAACGGCTTAACACAAATTCAACACATTCATGCTATTACACATGCTAAAAAACCTTCAAACTGGCCAAAACGAACAATATTCATAACAACAAGCCAAACTCATCATAAGAACACTAAAACAACAGCTTAACGCATTCATGCCATTACACATGCTAAAAAACGTTCAAACTCGCAAAAACAAACACTTTTCATAACAACAAGCCAAACTCATCAATAGAACACTAAAACAACGGCTTAACACAAGGGATTACTAATTCAACACATTCATGCTATTACACATGCTCAAAAACCTTCAAACTGGCCAAAACGAACAATGTTCATAACAACAAGCCAAACTCATAAGAACACTAAAACAACAGCTTAACGCATTCATGCCATTACACATGCTCAAAAACCTTCAAACTGGCCAAAACGAACAATGTTCATAACAACAAGCCAAACTCATCAAAAGAACACTAAAACAACAGCTTAACGCATTCATGCCATTACACATGCTCAAAAACCTTCAAACTCGCCAAAACAAACACTTTTCATAACAACAAGCCAAACTCATCAAAAGAATACTAAAACAACAGCTTAACACAAGGGATTACTAATTCAACACATTCATGCCATTACACATGCTCAAAAACGTTCAAACTGGCCAAAACGAACAATGTTCATAACAACAAGCCAAACTCATCAAACGAACACTAAAACAACAGCTTAACGCATTCATGCCATTACACATGCTCAAAAACCTTCAAACTCGCCAAAACAAACACTTTTCATAACAACAAGCCAACTCATCAAAAGAACACTAAAACAACAGCTTTAACGCATTCATGCCATTACACATGCTCAAAAACGTTCAAACTCGCAGAAACAAACACTTTTCATAACAACAAGCCAAACTCATCAAAAGAACACTAAAACAATGGCTTAACACAAGGGATTACTAATTCAACACATTCATGCCATTACACATGCTAAAAAACCTTCAAACTGGCCAAAACGAACAATGTTCATAACAACAAGCCAAACTCATCAAAAGAACACTAAAACAACAGCTTAACGCATTCATGCCATTACACATGCTCAAAAACCTTCAAACTGGCCAAAACGAACAATGTTCATAACAACAAGCCAAACTCATCAAAAGAACACTAAAACAACAGCTTAACGCATTCATGCCATTACACATGCTCAAAAACCTTCAAACTGGCCAAAACGAACAATGTTCATAACAACAAGCCAAACTCATCAAAAGAACACTAAAACAACAGCTTAACACAAGGGATTACTAATTCAACACATTCATGCCCATTACACATGCTCAAAAACGTTCAAACTGGCCAAAACGAACAATGTTCATAACAACAAGCCAAACTCATCAACAGAACACTAAAACAACAGCTTAACGCATTCATGCCATTACACATGCTCAAAAACGTTCAAACTCGCCAAAACAAACACTTTTCATAACAACAAGCCAAACTCATCAAAAGAACACTAAAACAACAGCTTAACGCATTCATGCCATTACACATGCTAAAAAACGTTCAAACTGGCCAAAACAAACAATGTTCAAAACAACAAGCCAAACTCATCAAAAGAACACTAAAACAACAGCTTAACGCATTCATGCCATTACACATGCTCATAAACGTTCAAACTGGCCAAAACGAACAATGTTCATAACAACAAGCCAAACTCATCAAAAGAACACTAAAACAACAGCTTAACACAAGGGATTACTAATTCAACACATTCATGCCATTACACATGCTCAAAATCGTTCAAACTGGCCAAAACGAACAATGTTCATAACAACAAGCCAAACTCATCATAAGAACACTAAAACAACAGCTTAACACATTCATTTTTTTTTATTTATTTTTTTATTATTATGGCAAGAATGTTTATTGATATCTTACAATAAAAAAGGCAGAAAATAAGCTTCAATATGTTTTCCTCAAATACTTTAAAGATAGAGGGAAATGGTTAACTTGACTGTAAAAAAAAAACAAATGCTAATTTTTCCCTTTTCACATAAAGAATTGACAAATTAATCATACTTGAGTGATAATGAGGTCGGGCACATTTTACCTACGGCAAAGGTTGGAGCTTTCACTGTAACATCTGTACCATATATGACTGTGGCGGTTTGTTTCTGAGCCTCATAAACATCAATGAAAGGAATCCAGTACAGCACATTTTGTGTGCGTGTGTGTGTGTGTAAGCAGAAGAAACTCCAGCTCAATGAGGCTCTTTAAACCTCACTTCCTGCTTTGATCTGCAGCTTCCTCGATTGCAGCCAGGTTGAAAGAGTCAGGAGGAAATTCACCAAGAGTGGACTGCAGTGGTTAAAAAATCTGCCCCATCTCAATGAGTGATTCACGAAGCAAACACCCACAAAGGTGTGCAGCTCTGTGCAGTTTGAACTAGTTTTGTGTCCAGTTGTGACTGAGATGAGCTGTCAGCATCACCACTTTCTGCTGCACAGAGCTGCATTGTGTATTCACATCCTGTCAGTGCTAGAATTTTTTAGTGGAGGTGGTTCATGACAGACATGATAGTACTTGCACAATTTGTATCCATCAGATTTCCTGGTGTATACTGGTAAAAAGCAGTTCATTTATATAAGTGTGAAGCAGTTCCTGGTATAAACCAGCAAAAGAACAAAACACTAAGCCAACAAATAAAATTTACATTTCTCAAGAAATTAATTAAATTCTGCCTAACGTTAGTATGTGTCTGTGGGAAATTGGTTGTTTTCCTGTGGGCCACATTTAATGGCTCCTTTTTTTTTTTTTTTTTTTAAATTTTTTATTTGTGCAGTGTGACAATACAAGACATACAAAACAAACAATGGCATTTGTGGTTGTGTGTGTGTGTGTGTGTTTGTGTGTAAGTGTGTGTGTGTGGTGTGTGTAAATAATAATGAAAAAGAAAATAAAAAAAAAAATAAATAAATAAATAAATATTACAATTGTCAGACAAGCAAAAAAAAAAAAGAAAATTATACTACATCAACAATATCAATAATAATAATAATAACAACAATAATAGTAATAATAATAAGAAGAAGAAGAAGGAATTTGTGGACCACTTTGGGTCCCTTCCCACTCGCACGAGACCCACCTGCATCCCTCCAGGCCCCCAGACTCCCACCCCAACCCCCGCATGCCCCGGACTGAATGCGGCACAACACCTTGCCCTATGTCTATATATGTATTTAGTCTTTGTTATTTACTTAATATACTTTATAATTATTTATTTATTTTTATTATTATTATTATTTTTTTTAATTATTATTATTATTATTATTATTATTATTATTATTATTGTTATTATTTTATTTATTTTATTTTATTTATTTTTTCTTAATTTCTCTCATATATGTGCTTTCTAATGTTGTGCATTAAAACCAAGGAGAGGGGTTGTCCTGAACTATAATTTGATGAGATTGAGACCCCGTTCCTCTTCCTAATCTAGTGTGATGTGCAATAAAAGAGGTGATGTGCCATCTGAAGACAGTCCAGGGCGGAGAACTGGGGGAGGGGGAGGCCGGAAGGGCAAGGAGATCACAGGTCATTGTCTAACAGGCGCGACCCAGCAGGGACCCGAGCAGAAAATAACAACTGTAAATGTAAGTATATAAATAAATAAATAATAATAATAGAAAATGACAATGACAATAATATTCATCATAATATTTGTAGTAATATGTAGTAAGAAATAGGAAATAAAAATCAATAAACAATAATAATATAAAAATAATAATGATAATGATAAAGATAATAATAAAGATAATAATAATAATAATAATAATAATAATAATAATAATAATAATAATAATAATAATAATAATAAATAGATAAGTAAATAAAATAAAAATAAAAAGTTGGGAATGAAAGTGTCAGAGAACAGAGATGGATGATGTTGTGACTGGTTTGTGGCAGATTATGAGCTTAGAAAAGTGATGAATGATAACCAGGTAGAGTTATGATTATTGTCAGAGGAGTTTGTATTTTCTAAGGAGATGTAGTCTATGAGCAGGTTTTTCCAGTGTATTATGAGTATGGAGTTCCGAGACTTCCAGTTCATGAGGATAGTTTTCCTGGCGACGGTTAGTGCCACTAGAAGTGAACGTGTGTGTGTGTTTTGTCAAGTTTTAATGGAGATAGGTCTCCTAATAAACAGACGGAAGGGGAAAGTGGGATGTGGCAGCCCATAATCTGGGATAATGTTTCTGTAATGTTTCTCCAGAAGTGGTGAACAGGTGTGCAGTGCCAGGTTGCATGAATATAGGTATCAGTGCAGTTTAGTGAGCAGTGTGAACAGTTTCCAGATGATGAGAAGCCCATTTTTTGCATTTTGTGTCCAGTCAGATGAGTTCTGTGAAGGATTTTGTATTGTATGAGTTGTAAATTAGCATTTTTCGTCATGGAGAAAATGTTCTTGCAGATTTGGGGCCAGAAGTCAGCATCAGGAGGGTATGGAGGGTGTTGAGTCGGCCTGTGATAATAATTTGTATAATTTAGATAGGATTTTCTTTGAGGAAGGGATGTTAATGAGTTTAGAGGGTAACGGGGGGAGGTCTAAGTTTATATTCTTGTTTTTCATTGATGATTGGATGGATGATGAAACCTGTAGATATTGTAGGAATTGATGGCTCCTGATGCCAAACTTCTGGACCAGGAGAGAGAATGGGACCAGGGTGTTATTATTGAAGATATGTTTGAGGTGAGTAATCCCTTTCTCTACCCAGGTGCTGAAGTATAGTGATTGTTTATTGCTGATGAAGTCCAGGTTGTGCCAGATCAGGGTGAAAAGCGATGGTGCCAGAGTGGAGTTAGTAATGCTGTAGAATTTCCACCAGGCTGTCAGGGCCGATGATATTGTGGGGTTTTGGAAACAGGGGTGTTTTTTGATAGTTTGACTGAGGAATGGTAGGTCTGAGAGATGGATGTCTTTGCTAACTGTTTGTTCTATGTCTAACCACGTGCTATCTGACTGGGTGGGGTGGGTCCATTTGTAGATGTATTGAAGTTGATTTGCTAGTGAGTAATGATGAAAATTTGGAGCATTGAGTCCGCCTAAACTTTTTGATTTCTGAAGAGTGGCCAGTTTGACTCGTGGGGGTTTATTTTTCCAGTAAAATTTGTTGATGGATGAATCGAGGGAATGAAACCAGGTGAGAGGTGGATGAGTGGGAATCATTGAACAAAGGTAACTGATTTTGGGGAGGATTGTCATTTTAACTGTTGCTATTCTGCCTAATATAGATAATGGGAGGTTCATCCATCGTTGGAGATCATCATTGATTTTTTTTAGGAGTGGAGTGAAATTCAGGTTGATCAACTCTGACAGCCTGGGGGAAATGTGGATGCCTAAGTAGGTGATGTGACTTGTGCAGAAGGGGATGGGTGTTGTAAGGGCTGCCACAGCCAGACTGTTGGTGTTTAATGGGAGTATGGAGGATTTGTTCCAGTTTATTGAGTAGTCAGAGAGAAGGGAGAAGGATTTGATGACACTGATTACTTCTTGTAGTGATGATTTTGGGTTATCCATAAAAAGTAAAATGTCATCTGCATAGAGGCTGATTTTATGGTGCATGTTGGGGGTTTGGATTCCTGTAATGAGGGGGTTCTGACGGATGGCTGCTGCTCGGGGTTCAATGAAAATGGTGAACAAAGAGGGAGAGAGTGGGCAACCTTGCCTGGTCCCCCTGTGAAGAGTGAAGCTTTGTGAGGTTTGTCCGTTAGTAATAACTGTGGCTGTAGGTGAGGTGTAAAGTGTTTTAATCCAGTTAATAAATGATTCCCCAAAGCCGAAACTGTGTAGGGTGTGGATGAGGAATGACCAGTTAACTCTGTCAAAGGCTTTTTCTGCATCTAAGGTGGCTATGATTGAGTTATGGTTATGTGTGGTTGAGTGGTGCATTATATTGAATAGTCTGCGTGTGTTATTGGATGAGTTTCTTCCTTTAATAAATCCTGTTTGATCCGGGTGAATAATGGATGGAATAATTTTTTCTAATCGGTGGGAAAGTGCCTTGGTGATAATTTTAATGTCAACGTTGAGAAGTGAAATGGGGCGGTAACTTGAAGGTAGGGTGGAGCTTAACGCATTCATGCCATTACACATGCTCAAAAACGTTCAAACTCGCAGAAACAAACACTTTTCATAACAACAAGCCAAACTCATCAAAAGAACACTAAAACAACGGCTTAACACATGGGATTACTAATTCAACACATTCATGCCATTACACATGCTCAAAAACGTTCAAACTCGCAAAACAAACACTTTTCATAACAACAAGCCAAACTCATCAAAAGAACACAAAAACAACAGCTTAACGCATTCATGACATTACATATGCTCAAAAACGTTCAAACTCACCAAAACAAACACTTTCACAACAACAAGCCAAACTCATCAAAAGAACACTACAACAACAGCTTAACACAAGGGATTACTAATTCAACACATTCATGCCATTACACATGCTAAAAAACCTTCAAACTGGCCAAAACGAACAATGTTCATAACAACAAGCCAAACTCATCATAAGACAACTAAAACAACAGCTTAAAGCATTCATGCCATTACACATGCTCAAAAACGTTCAAACTCGCCAAAACAAACACTTTTCATAACAACAAGCCAAACTCATCAAAAGAACACTAAAACAACAGCTTAACAAGGCATTCATGCCATTACACATGCTCAAAAACGTTCAAACTCGCCAAAACAAACACTTTTCATAACAACAAGCCAAACTCATCAAAAGAACACTAAAACAACAGCTTAACACAAGGGATTACTAATTCAACACATTCATGCCATTACACATGCTCAAAAACCTTCAAACTGGCCAAAACAAACACTTTTCATAACAACAAGCCAAACTCATCAAAAGAACACTAAAACAACAGCTTAACACAAGGGATTACTAATTCAACACATTCATGCCATTACACATGCTCAAAAACCTTCAAACTGGCCAAAACGAACAATGTTCATAACAACAAGCCAAACTCATCAAAAGAACACTAAAACAACAGCTTAACGCATTCATGCCATTACACATGCTCAAAAACGTTCAAACTCGCCAAAACAAACACTTTTCATAACAACAAGCCAAACTCATCAAAAGAACACTAAAACAACGGCTTAACACAAGGGATTACTAATTCAACACATTCATGCCATTACACATGCTCAAAAACCTTCAAACTGGCCAAAACGAACAATGTTCATAACAACAAGCCAAACTCATCAAAAGAACACTAAAACAACAGCTTAACGCATTCATGCCATTACACATGCTCAAAAACGTTCAAACTGGCCAAAACAAACACTTTTCATAACAACAAGCCAAACTCATCAAAAGAACACTAAAACAACAGCTTTAACGCATTCATGCCATTACACATGCTCAAAAACGTTCAAACTGGCCAAAACGAACAATGTTCATAACAACAAGCCAAACTCATCATAAGAACACTAAAACAACAGCTTAACGCATTCATGCCATTACACATGCTCAAAAACGTTCAAACTCGCCAAAACAAACACTTTTCATAACAACAAGCCAAACTCATCAAAAGAACACTAAAACAACGGCTTAACACAAGGGATTACTAATTCAACACATTCATGCCATTACACATGCTCAAAAACCTTCAAACTGGCCAAAACGAACAATGTTCATAACAACAAGCCAAACTCATCAAAAGAACACTAAACTACAGCTTAACGCATTCATGCCATTACACATGCTCAAAAACGTTCAAACTCGCCAAAACAAACACTTTTCATAACAACAAGCCAAACTCATCAAAAGAACACTAAAACAACGGCTTAACACATGGGATTACTAATTCAACACAATAACACCATTACACATGCTCAAAAACGTTCAAACTGGCCAAAACGAACAATGTTCATAACAACAAGCCAAACTCATCATAAGAACACTAAAACAACAGCTTAACGCATTCATGCCATTACACATGCTCAAAAACGTTCAAACTCGCCAAAACAAACACTTTTCATAACAACAAGCCAAACTCATCAAAAGAACACTAAAACAACGGCTTAACACAAGGGATTACTAATTCAACACATTCATGCCATTACACATGCTCAAAAACGTTCAAACTGGCCAAAACAAACACTTTTCATAACAACAAGCCAAACTCATCAAAAGAACACTAAAACAACAGCTTAACGCATTCATGCCATTACACATGCTCAAAAACGTTCAAACTCGCCAAAACAAACACTTTTTATAACAACAAGCCAAACTCATCAAAAGAACACTAAAACAACAGCTTAACGCATTCATGCCATTACACATGCTCAAAAACGTTCAAACTCGCCAAAATAAACACTTTTCATAACAACAAGCCAAACTCATCAAAAGAACACTAAAACAACGGCTTAACACATGGGATTACTAATTCAACACAATAACACCATTACACATGCTCAAAAACGTTCAAACTGGCCAAAACGAACAATGTTCATAACAACAAGCCAAACTCATCAAAAGAACACTAAAACAACAGCTTAACGGATTCATGCCATTACACATGCTCAAAAACGTTCAAACTCGCCAAAACAAACACTTTTAATAACAACAAGCCAAACTCATCAAAAGAACACTAAAACAACAGCTTAACGCATTCATGCCATTACACATGCTCAAAAACGTTCAAACTCGCCAAAACAAACACTTTTCATAACAACAAGCCAAACTCATCAAAAGAACACTAAAACAACGGCTTAACACAAGGGATTACTAATTCAACACATTCATGCCATTACACATGCTCAAAAACCTTCAAACTGGCCAAAACGAACAATGTTCATAACAACAAGCCAAACTCATCAAAAGAACACTAAAACAACAGCTTAACGCATTCATGCCATTACACATGCTCAAAAACGTTCAAACTCGCCAAAACAAACACTTTTCATAACAACAAGCCAAACTCATCAAAAGAACACTAACAACAAGCCAAACATCACCATTCATGCTCAAAAACGTTCAAACTCATAACAACAAGCCAAACTCATCAAAGAACACTAAAACAACAGCTTAACGCATTATCCATTACACATGCTCAAAAACGTTCAAACTGCCAAAACAACACTTTCAAACAACAAGCCAAACTCATCAAAAACACTCAAACAGCCATACACATCATCAAAGAACACTAAATCAACTAAAACAAAAACAAAGCATTTTTTACATTCATAAAAGTATTTAAAATTCAGCTCTCTATACTTTTAAGATTAATACTTTCTTCCTACTTTCATACTCTTACATTCATATGCCTTTTTTATACTCACAGTTCTGTAACAATTCTATATCGACAAATATTGACAGGTCTTACAACTTTGTCTTCATGTGAGCATTTTTTACATTTATACTTCTGCTCACTTTTGAGATCAATACCACCTATTTGCACTTTAATAATTTTGCATTTATACAGCTTTTAGCTACAGCTCTGTACTCTTTATATTTATATGTAGGGCAGCAACTGAAGCTCACCACTAGATGCGGCTGTCATACCATAATCAAATATTTCTATGGTGATGTGCTGACTGCAAACATCTTTTTTATGTAGGGCAGTGACAGAAGACAAGACCAACACCATTACACATGCTCAAAAACGTTCAAACTGGCCAAAACGAACAATGTTCATAACAACAAGCCAAACTCATCATAAGAACACTAAAACAACAGCTTAACGCATTCATGCCATTACACATGCTCAAAAACGTTCAAACTCGCCAAAACAAACACTTTTCATAACAACAAGCCAAACTCATCAAAAGAACACTAAAACAACGGCTTAACACAAGGGATTACTAATTCAACACATTCATGCCATTACACATGCTCAAAAACGTTCAAACTGGCCAAAACGAACAATGTTCATAACAACAAGCCAAACTCATCAAAAGAACACTAAAACAACAGCTTAACGCATTCATGCCATTACACATGCTCAAAAACGTTCAAACTCGCCAAAACAAACACTTTTCATAACAACAAGCCAAACTCATCAAAAGAACACTAAAACAACAGCTTACACAAGGGATTACTAATTCAACACATTCATGCCATTACACATGCTCAAAAACGTTCAAACTCGCCAAAACAAACACTTTTCATAACAACAAGCCAAACTCATCAAAAGAACACTAAAACAACAGCTTAACGCATTCATGCCATTACACATGCTCAAAAACGTTCAAACTGGCCAAAACGAACAATGTTCATAACAACAAGCAAAACTCATCATAAGAACACTAAAACAACAGCTTAACGCATTCATGCCATTACACATGCTCAAAAACGTTCAACCTCGCCAAAACAAACACTTTTCATAACAATAAGCCAAATTCATCAAAAGAACACTAAAACAACGGCTTAACACAAGGGATTACTAATTCAACACATTCATGCCATTACACATGCTCAAAAACGTTCAAACTCGCCAAAACGAACAATGTTCATAACAACAAGCCAAACTCATCAAAAGAACACTAAAACTCAAGGGATTACTAATTCAACACATTCATGCCATTACACATGCTCAAAAACGTTCAAACTCGCCAAAACAAACACTTTTCATAACAACAAGCCAAACTCATCAAAAGAACACTAAAACAACGGCTTAACACATGGGATTACTACTTCAACACATTAACGCCATTACACATGCTCAAAAATCTTCAAACTGGCCAAAACAAACACTTTTCATAACAACAAGCCAAACTCATCATAAAGAACACTAAAACAACAGCTTAACACATTCATGCCATTACACATGCTCAAAAACGTTCAAACTCGCCAAAACAAACACTTTTCATAACAACAAGCCAAACTCATCATAAGACAACTAAAACAATAGCTTAAAGCATTCATGCCATTACACATGCTCAAAAACGTTCAAACTCGCCAAAACAAACACTTTTCATAACAACAAGCCAAACTCATCAAAAGAACACTAAAACAACAGCTTAACGCATTCATGCCATTTCACATGCTCAAAAACGTTCAAACTCGCCAAAACAAACACTTTTCATAACAACAAGCCAAACTCATCAAAAGAACACTAAAACAACGGCTTAACACAAGGGATTACTAATTCAACACATTCATGCCATTACACATGCTCAAAAACCTTCAAACTGGCCAAAACAAACAATGTTCAAAACAACAAGCCAAACTCATCAAAAGAACTCTAAAACAACAGCTTAACGCATTCATGCCATTACACGTGCTCAAAAACGTTCAAATTCGCCAAAACAAACACTTTTCATAACAACAAGCCATACTCATCAAAAGAACACTAAAACAACAGCTTAACACAAGGGATTACTAATTCAACACATTCATGCCATTACACATGCTCAAAAACGTTCAAACTCGCCAAAACAAACACTTTTCATAACAACAAGCCAAACTCATCAAAAGAACACTAAAACAACAGCTTAACGCATTCATGCCATTACACATGCTCAAAAACGTTCAAACTCGCCAAAACAAACACTTTTCATAACAACAAGCCAAACTCATCAAAAGAACACTAAAACAACAGCTTAACGCATTCATGCCATTACACATGCTCAAAAACGTTCAAACTCGCCAAAACAAACACTTTTCATAACAACAAGCCAAACTCATCAAAAGAACACTAAAACAACGGCTTAACACAAGGGATTACTAATTCAACACATTCATGCCATTACACATGCTCAAAAACGTTCAAACTGGCCAAAACAAACAATGTTCATAACAACAAGCCAAACTCATCAAAAGAACACTAAAACAACAGCTTAACGCATTCATGCCATTACACATGCTCAAAAACGTTCAAACTCGCCAAAACAAACACTTTTCATAACAACAAGCCAAACTCATCAAAAGAACACTAAAACAACGGCTTAACACATGGGATTACTAATTCAACACATTCATGCCATTACACATGCTCAAAAACCTTCAAACTGGCCAAAACGAACAATGTTCATAACAACAAGCCAAACTCATCAAAAGAACACTAAAACAACAGCTTAACGCATTCATGCCATTACACATGCTCAAAAACGTTCAAACTCGCCAAAACAAACACTTTTCATAACAACAAGCCAAACTCATCAAAAGAACACTAAAACAACAGCTTAACACAGGGATTACTAATTCAACACATTCATGCCATTACACATGCTCAAAAACGTTCAAACTGGCCAAAACGAACAATTTTCATAACAACAAGCCAAACTCATCAAAAGAACACTAAAACAACGGCTTAACACAAGGGATTACTAATTCAACACATTCATGCCATTACACATGCTCAAAAACGTTCAAACTGGCCAAAACAAACACTGTTCATAACAACAAGCCAAACTCATCAAAAGAACACTAAAACAACAGCTTAACGCATTCATGCCATTACACATGCTCAAAAACGTTCAAACTCGCCAAAACAAACACTTTTCATAACAACAAGCCAAACTCATCATAAAAGAACACTAAAACAACGGCTTAACACATGGGATTACTAATTCAACACATTAACGCCATTACACATGCTCAAAAACGTTCAAACTGGCCAAAACGAACAATGTTCATAACAACAAGCCAAACTCATCAAAAGAACACTAAAACAACAGCTTAACGAATTCATGCCATTACACATGCTCAAAAACGTTCAAACTCGCCAAAACAAACACTTTTCACAACAACAAGCCAAACTCATCAAAAGAACACTAAAACAACAGCTTAACGGATTCATGCCATTACACATGCTCAAAAACGTTCAAACTCGCCAAAACAAACACTTTTCATAACAACAAGCCAAACTCATCAAAAGAACACTAAAACAACAGCTTAACGCATTCATGCCATTACACATGCTCAAAAACGTTCAAACTCGCCAAAACAAACACTTTTCATAACAACAAGCCAAACTCATCAAAAGAACACTAAAACAACAGCTTAACACAAGGGATTACTAATTCAACACATTCATGCCATTACACATGCTCAAAAACGTTCAAACTGGCCAAAACGAACAATGTTCATAACAACAAGCCAAACTCATCAAAAGAACACTAAAACAACAGCTTAACGCATTCATGCCATTACACATGCTCAAAAACGTTCAAACTCGCCAAAACAAACACTTTTCATAACAACAAGCCAAACTCATCAAAAGAACACTAAAACAACAGCTTAACGCATTCATGCCATTACACATGCTCAAAAACGTTCAAACTCGCCAAAACAAACACTTTTCATAACAACAAGCCAAACTCATCAAAAGAACACTAAAACAACGGCTTAACACATGGGATTACTAATTCAACACATTATGCCATTACACATGCTCAAAAACGTTCAAACTGGCCAAAACAAACACTTTTCATAACAACAAGCCAAACTCATCAAAAGAACACTAAAACAACAGCTTAACGAATTCATGCCATTACACATGCTCAAAAACGTTCAAACTCGCCAAAACAAACACTTTTCACAACAACAAGCCAAACTCATCAAAAGAACACTAAAACAACAGCTTAACGCATTCATGCCATTACACATGCTCAAAAACGTTCAAACTCGCCAAAACAAACACTTTTCATAACAACAAGCCAAACTCATCAAAAGAACACTAAAACAACAGCTTAACGCATTCATGCCATTACACATGCTCAAAAACGTTCAAACTCGCCAAAACAAACACTTTTCATAACAACAAGCCAAACTCATCAAAAGAACACTAAAACAACAGCTTAACACAAGGGATTACTAATTCAACACATTCATGCCATTACACATGCTCAAAAACCTTCAAACTGGCCAAAACGAACAATGTTCATAACAACAAGCCAAACTCATCAAAAGAACACTAAAACAACAGCTTAACGCATTCATGCCATTACACATGCTCAAAAACGTTCAAACTCGCCAAAACAAACACTTTTCATAACAACAAGCCAAACTCATCAAAAGAACACTAAAACAACAGCTTAACGCATTCATGCCATTACACATGCTCAAAAACGTTCAAACTCGCCAAAACAAACACTTTTCATAACAACAAGCCAAACTCATCAAAAGAACACTAAAACAACGGCTTAACACAAGGGATTACTAATTCAACACATTCATGCCATTACACATGCTCAAAAACGTTCAAACTGGCCAAAACGAACAATGTTCATAACAACAAGCCAAACTCATCAAAAGAACACTAAAACTCAAGGGATTACTAATTCAACACATTCATGCCATTACACATGCTCAAAAACGTTCAAACTCGCCAAAACAAACACTTTTCATAACAACAAGCCAAACTCATCAAAAGAACACTAAAACAACAGCTTAACGCATTCATGCCATTACACATGCTCAAAAACGTTCAAACTCGCCAAAACAAACACTTTTCATAACAACAAGCCAAACTCATCAAAAGAACACTAAAACAACAGCTTAACGCATTCATGCCATTACACATGCTCAAAAACGTTCAAATTCGCCAAAACACACACTTTTCATAACAACAAGCCAAACTCATCAAAAGAACACTAAAACAACAGCTTAACGCATTCATGCCATTACACATGCTCAAAAACGTTCAAACTCGCCAAAACAAACACTTTTCATAACAACAAGCCAAACTCATCAAAAGAACACTAAAACAACGGCTTAACACAAGGGATTACTAATTCAACACATTCATGCCATTACACATGCTCAAAAACGTTCAAACTCGCCAAAACAAACACTTTTCATAACAACAAGCCAAACTCATCAAAAGAACACTAAAACAACAGGTTAACGCATTCATGCCATTACACATGATCAAAAACGTTCAAATTCGCCAAAACAAACACTTTTCATAACAACAAGCCAAACTCATCAAAAGAACACTAAAACAACAGCTTAACGCATTCATGCCATTACACATGATCAAAAACATTCAAACTCGCCAAAACAAACACTTTTCATAACAACAAGCCAAACTCATCAAAAGAACACTAAATAAACAGCTTAACGCATTCATGCCATTACACATGCTCAGAATCGTTCAAACTCGCCAAAACAAACACTTTTCATAACAACAAGCCACACTCATCAAAAGAACACTAAAACAACAGCTTAACGCATTCATGCCATTACACATGCTCAAAAACGTTCAAACTCGCCAAAACAAACACTTTTCATAACAACAAGCCAAACTCATCAAAAGAACACTAAAACAACAGCTTAACGCATTCATGCCATTACACATGCTCAAAAACGTTCAAACTCGCCAAAACAAACACTTTTCATAACAACAAGCCAAACTCATCAAAAGAACACTAAAACAACAGCTTAACGCATTCATGCCATTACACATGCTCAAAAACGTTCAAACTCGCCAAAACAAACACTTTTCATAACAACAAGCCAAACTCATCAAAAGAACACTAAAACAACGGCTTAACACAAGGGATTACTAATTCAACACATTCATGCCATTACACATGCTCAAAAACCTTCAAACTGGCCAAAACGAACAATGTTCATAACAACAAGCCAAACTCATCAAAAGAACACTAAAACAACAGCTTAACGCATTCATGCCATTACACATGATCAAAAACGTTCAAATTCGCCAAAACAAACACTTTTCATAACAACAAGCCAAACTCATCAAAAGAACACTAAAACAACAGCTTAACGCATTCATGCCATTACACATGCTCAAAAACGTTCAAACTCGCCAAAACAAACACTTTTCATAACAACAAGCCAAACTCATCAAAAGAACACTAAAACAACAGCTTAACGCATTCATGCCATTACACATGCTCAAAAACGTTCAAACTCGCCAAAACAAACACTTTTCATAACAACAAGCCAAACTCATCAAAAGAACACTAAAACAACAGCTTAACGCATTCATGCCATTACACATGCTCAAAAACGTTCAAACTCGCCAAAACAAACACTTTTCATAACAACAAGCCAAACTCATCAAAAGAACACTAAAACAACAGCTTAACACAAGGGATTACTAATTCAACACATTCATGCCATTACACATGCTCAAAAACGTTCAAACTCGCCAAAACAAACACTTTTCATAACAACAAGCCAAACTCATCAAAAGAACACTAAAACAACAGCTTAACGCATTCATGCCATTACACATGCTCAAAAACGTTCAAACTCGCCAAAACAAACACTTTTCATAACAACAAGCCAAACTCATCAAAAGAACACAAAAACAACAGCTTAACGCATTCATGCCATTACACATGCTCAAAAACGTTCAAACTCGCCAAAACAAACACTTTTCATAACAACAAGCCAAACTCATCAAAAGAACACTAAAACAACAGCTTAACACAAGGGATTACTAATTCAAAACATTCATGCCATTACACATGCTCAAAAACGTTCAAACTCGCCAAAACAAACACTTTTCATAACAACAAGCCAAACTCATCAAAAGAACACTAAAACAACAGCTTAACAAAGGGATTACTAATTCAACACATTCATGCCATTACACATGCTCAAAAATCTTCAAACTGGCCAAAACAAACACTTTTCATAACAACAAGCCAAACTCATCAAAAGAACACTAAAACAACAGCTTAACGCATTCATGCCATTACACATGCTCAAAAACGTTCAAACTCGCCAAAACAAACACTTTTCATAACAACAAGCCAAACTCATCAAAAGAACACTAAAACAACAGCTTAACACAAGGGATTACTAATTCAAAACATTCATGCCATTACACATGCTCAAAAACGTTCAAACTCGCCAAAACAAACACTTTTCATAACAACAAGCCAAACTCATCAAAAGAACACTAAAACAACAGCTTAACGCATTCATGCCATTACACATGCTCAAAAACGTTCAAACTCGCCAAAACAAACACTTTTCATAACAACAAGCCAAACTCATCAAAAGAACACTAAAACAACAGCTTAACACAAGGGATTACTAATTCAACACATTCATGCCATTACACATGCTCAAAAATCTTCAAACTCGCCAAAACAAACACTTTTCATAACAACAAGCCAAACTCATCAAAAGAACACTAAAACAACAGCTTAACGCATTCATGACATTACACATGCTCAAAAACGTTCAAACTCGCCAAAACAAACACTTTCACAACAACAAGCCAAACTCATCAAAAGAACACTAAAACAACATTCATGCCATTACACATGCTAAAAAACCTTCAAACTGGCCAAAACGAACAATGTTCATAACAACAAGCCAAACTCATCATAAGACAACTAAAACAACAGCTTAAAGCATTCATGCCATTACACATGCTCAAAAATGTTCAAACTCGCCAAAACAAACACTTTTCATAACAACAAGCCAAACTCATCAAAAGAACACTAAAACAACAGCTTAACGCATTCATGCCATTACACATGCTCAAAAACGTTCAAACTGGCCAAAACAAACACTTTTCATAACAACAAGCCAAACTCATCAAAAGAACACTAAAACAACAGCTTAACGCATTCATGCCATTACACATGCTCAAAAACGTTCAAACTCGCCAAAACAAACACTTTTCATAACAACAAGCCAAACTCATCAAAAGAACACTAAAACAACGTCTTAACACAAGGGATTACTAATTCAACACAGTCACATGCTCAAAAATCTTCAAACTGGCCAAAACAAACACTTTTCATAACAACAAGCCAAACTCATCAAAAGAACACTAAAACAACAGCTTAACGCATTCATGCCATTACACATGCTCAAAAACGTTCAAACTCGCCAAAACAAACACTTTTCATAACAACAAGCCAAACTCATCAAAAGAACACTAAAACAACAGCTTAACACAAGGGATTACTAATTCAACACATTCATGCCATTACACATGCTCAAAAACGTTCAAACTCGCCAAAACAAACACTTTTCATAACAACAAGCCAAACTCATCAAAAGAACACTAAAACAACAGCTTAACGCATTCATGCCATTACACATGCTCAAAAACGTTCAAACTCGCCAAAACAAACACTTTTCATAACAACAAGCCAAACTCATCAAAAGAACACTAAAACAACAGCTTAACACAAGGGATTACTAATTCAAAACATTCATGCCATTACACATGCTCAAAAACGTTCAAACTCGCCAAAACAAACACTTTTCATAACAACAAGCCAAACTCATCAAAAGAACACTAAAACAACAGCTTAACGCATTCATGCCATTACACATGCTCAAAAACGTTCAAACTCGCCAAAACAAACACTTTTCATAACAACAAGCCAAACTCATCAAAAGAACACTAAAACAACAGCTTAACACAAGGGATTACTAATTCAAAACATTCATGCCATTACACATGCTCAAAAACGTTCAAACTCGCCAAAACAAACACTTTTCATAACAACAAGCCAAACTCATCAAAAGAACACTAAAACAACAGCTTAACACAAGGGATTACTAATTCAAAACATTCATGCCATTACACATGCTCAAAAACGTTCAAACTCGCCAAAACAAACACTTTTCATAACAACAAGCCAAACTCATCAAAAGAACACTAAAACAACAGCTTAACGCATTCATGCCATTACACATGCTCAAAAACGTTCAAACTCGCCAAAACAAACACTTTTCATAACAACAAGCCAAACTCATCAAAAGAACACTAAAACAACAGCTTAACACAAGGGATTACTAATTCAACACATTCATGCCATTACACATGCTCAAAAACGTTCAAACTCGCCAAAACAAACACTTTTCATAACAACAAGCCAAACTCATCAAAAGAACACTAAAACAACAGCTTAACACAAGGGATTACTAATTCAACACATTCATGCCATTACACATGCTCAAAAATCTTCAAACTGGCCAAAACAAACACTTTTCATAACAACAAGCCAAACTCATCAAAAGAACACTAAAACAACGGCTTAACACAAGGGATTACTAATTCAACACATTCATGCCATTACACATGCTCAAAAACGTTCAAACTCGCCAAAACAAACACTTTTCATAACAACAAGCCAAACTCATCAAAAGAACACTAAAACAACAGCTTAACGCATTCATGCCATTACACATGCTCAAAAACGTTCAAACTCGCCAAAACAAACACTTTTCATAACAACAAGCCAAACTCATCAAAAGAACACTAAAACAACAGCTTAACACAAGGGATTACTAATTCATCACATTCATGCCATTACACATGCTCAAAAACGTTCAAACTCGCCAAAACAAACACTTTTCATAACAACAAGCCAAACTCATCAAAAGAACACTAAAACAACAGCTTAACGCATTCATGCCATTACACATGCTCAAAAACGTTCAAACTCGCCAAAACAAACACTTTTCATAACAACAAGCCAAACTCATCAAAAGAACACTAAAACAACAGCTTAACGCATTCATGCCATTACACATGCTCAAAAACGTTCAAACTCGCCAAAACAAACACTTTTCATAACAACAAGCCAAACTCATCAAAAGAACACTAAAACAACAGCTTAACACAAGGGATTAATAATTCAACACATTCATGCCATTACACATGCTCAAAAACCTTCAAACTGGCCAAAACGAACAATGTTCATAACAACAAGCCAAACTCATCAAAAGAACACTAAAACAACAGCTTAACGCATTCATGCCATAACACATGCTCACATACCTTCAATCTCGCCGAAACAAACTATAATCATAACAAGCCAACACATCTAAACAACACTTTAACAACAGTTAAACAGAAGGGATAACCAACTCAACAGATGCATGCCATAACACATACTCACAAACCTTCAAACTCGCCAAAACAAACTATGATCATAACAACAAGCCAACACATCAAAAGAACACTTAAACAACGGCTAAAAACAAGGGGTAACCAGTTCAACAGATAAACATATCAACTGCATGTGATAACACTAGCTCACTTAATTTCAATTCCCAAAAATACTATCAAAACAACAAGCCAACACATCAAAACAACACTTAAACAACAACTCAACAGATGTGTGCCATAAAACATGCTCATATACCTTCAATCTCGCCAAAACAAACTATGATCATAACAACTAACCCTAACCCCTAACCCTACCCCTCACCCTACCCCAACCATAACCCTAATCCCTCACCCTTTCCCTAACCCCTAAGCCTAACCCGAACCCCCTAACCCTAATCCCTAACCCTAACCCCCTAACCTTAACCCTAACCCTAACTCTAACCACCAAACCCTAACCACTAACCCCTAATCCCTAGCCCTAAACTAACACCTAACTAGGTATCTAACCCTAACCCTAACCATCTAACCCTAGCCCTAACCCCTCTAACCCTAACCCTAACCCTAACCCTAACCCTAACCTCTCTGACCCTAACCCTAACCATCTAACCCTAGCCCTAACCCCTCTAACCCTAACCCTAACCCTAACCCTAACCTCTCTGACCCTTGCCCTGACCCCTAACCCTAACCTTTAAAAAACTAATAATTTATTTTAATTAATTCATTTGAATTCATTTTTAATTATTAAATTTCATAGCAGGCTAAAAATAGTAATAATTTCACATTAAAACCAAAAGTATTACAAATGTATATCTAATCTAAAATCTAAAAAGGGAATTAAGGGCTAAAATAAAACTATCTTTAAAATTCAAACGCATTACAATTCTAATTGACAATTATGGATTTAAAATATAAAAGTTAAAATTGGGCATTAAAATTACAATTAATTAAATTTAATCAGTTAAAAAGAGGGTAAAAAAATTCTAATTGGGCATTAAAAGTACAATTCATTAATCAGCTTCAACATTACAATTGACCATCAACATTCATTTCATTTAAATTCAGTAGGCATTTAGTGGTTCATACACACACAGACTGCCGGAGCCTCTCCATGACTCATCAGAGTGCAGCTGCATTCTGCATTCTTTGCTCTCCCCGCCTCTATAAATAGAACACACACACAAACCTTGGCTCCTCTCATTCTGGCTGAGTCTGCTGAAGGGAGAACATCTCACACCCTGAATCAACAAGCCCAGACATATTTCTCACAGTGCCCAGAGCCTGAAGAAGACCCACAGCGGTCGAAACGTTGCGCAACTGGGCACTTTTCCCCCACACCTTTTCTTCAATTCTTCATTTTAATAGACATTTTATTTTGTTATTTTACTTTTATTTCATTTTATTTCATTTTTATTTTAGAAAAAAAAGCATAAAAAAATAAAGAACATTTCATTTATTTTGTTATTTTCATATACAGCTTTTGTTTTGAATACCTTGATTTGAATACATTATAAATAGATAGATACACAAATAAATGAATAAATAGTTTGAGAAATACACAATATACAATAAATAGTAATAAATAATTAAAAAGGATAAAAACAGTCATGGCCTACGATCAATGGACTGAGGTGCAATACAGGAGGAGGGGTGGTCGCCTCCAGTACCGTGACACCAATCCACAAAATCTCAGGATGGTTCGACCTTGGTAAAGGCAATGAACCGCCATGTCAAAAGTGGCTCAAACCCCTATATCCCCGAACCTAACACAAAAAGCATAAAAAAATTTAAAACCATTCATTTATTTTGTTATTTTTACATATAGCTTTTATTTTGAATATCTTGATTCGAATAAATTAATAAATAGATAGATAAATAAATAAATACATAGTTTAATAAATACACCACATTAATAAATAATTAAAAACGAAAAAACAATCATTAGATACGATCAACAACAATGGACTGAGACAACATTCTCAGCATTGTTCAGGATTGTTATCCTTTTTCTGTTGGTACAGCAGGTTATGAGTAAGGCTCATTGTGAGGTCCACCATTATACTCAGAAACAGATGGAATCAGCAACATGACAGGAATGCAGAAATATACTTCTGAAAATTAAGTTAAGTTCCTTTTTAACAATAACGGTAATTTTGTTGACATGAGGAAATACATCCCCTTTAATGTAAACAAACTCTACAAAAACATGTTCGAAGAACTTGACAAAAGCCAGGAATGGGTGCTCTAGGGTTCCCAACCGTACCGTAAAAAACGGGATCATACCGTATCTGAAAACAAAAAGACATGTCGCGTAATGAACTAAAACGGGATGCTCCTTCTCCCGTACTTTCTGAAAGTGTCTCTCTCTGCCTAACACATGCATCTGTTGAGTTGGTTACCCCTTCTGTGTAGCTGTTATTTAAAAGTTGTTTTGATGTGTTGGCTTGTTATGATCATAGTTTGTTTTGGCGAGATTGAAGTTAAGTGAGCTAGTGTTCCTGCATGCAGTTGATGGGCTCTATTTTCGTGCGCGCCGGTGAGGCGGCGGAGGGCGGCGAGCCCCGCGCAGTTGTATTTTCGTCTGGCGGAGCCTGGCGTAAGTCCAGTTTGGTATTTTTGTAGACTGAGCCTCACGGAGGCGAGCCGAGATCCGCCAAGCTGGGCGTGGTGGCGTGGCAGGGGGAGGTGTCGACAGAATCAGCAGGCGCAGTGACATTTTCGTGCTCGCCACCGGCGTGTAAAGTGCGCTGAAAGCTCGCCGATTCAAACCTGGTCAGCTTTCAGCGCATGGCGGAGCGCAGCTGGTCTAGTAGTATTTTGGTAGACCGGCGGCGTATCGACATACGTCACTGATGCCCTGCAATAAATAATCATCATCAACTATTAATCTGAGTCAGCACATAGATCTATATTGATATATTCTGATCTATATGTGATCTGATGAGTGCGTTTGGCACGCGTTTGGACACACAACCTGACCGAATCAACACAGCTGAAACCGCATCAAATTAAATTAAATATCTAGTAAATAAACACACATGATGAAGTTAACAAGATATGTAATTTGTCTCCCTCCTTTTCTATCTTCCTCTTCCTCTTATTTCTCACACAGCTGGACCTGGACACGTCTCTGTGTCCTCTGTCCTTCTTGCTGCTGCTGCGGCTGAACAGATGATTTGTTTCAGTGCTCAGATGTGTTATCTACTTTAAGCCTACATGCGGATATTATAATATTCAGTTTTGTGAGGCAAATTTATTTTATATGCCAACATCTATGAAAGAAAGAGCCAGGTCACGGAGCGCGATGCGTCATTTACGCACAGATGGTTCCATTTTTAATGCCATTTTTGGAGTTTATGTTGTGATCTGTGCGCTCAACCCACCTTTGTCACGTGAGGTTTGAATATATGCAACTTTATGTGAGTGTCTTTATTTGTGGAAAAGGGTGTTTGTCTTACCAGTGGGTCCAACATTACACACACCAAATCCATCTGTGCTCAGATGAGAGAGTGTGGAGGACACTTGTTGAGGAGCTGCCCTCTGTCGTCATCTTGTGGCATTACTGTCTTAAGACATCTCTTGATCTCTTTGACTACTTCATGAAAATAGTAATACGCCTCGCCTGTGGCGGATTTAAAGGCAAGGAGAGGAGCTTATGTGATTGGTGAAAACAGGTCTCGGCTGTGTTAAATCCACTCCACGCCCTTTCTCCTCCCCGTCTACGACTTATGCTGCTGGGAGGAGCTGAGTTAGGGAGGGGGGATACTTACGCCGGGCAGCGCGGCTCACCAAAATACCAAAATGTGCTTGGGAACGCCTTGTCAGCGCGGCGGATCTGACTGACGCTGAACTTGCGGCACGTCTCCGGCGAGGCACCAAAATAGAGCCCGATATGTTTATCTGTTGAACTGGTTACCCCTTGTGTTAAGCTGTTGTTTTTGTTCGTTTAGGCAAGATTGAAGGTTTGTGATTATGTGTTTTGGCATGCATCTGTTGAGTTGGTTACCCCTTGTGATTAGCTGTTGTTTAAGTGTTGTTTTGATGTGTTGGCTATGGTCATAGTTTGTTTTGGCGAGATTGAAGTTAAGTGAGTCATTTTTGTGTATTTTTGTACCATAGCAGTGGCGTTATGTTTTGAATGGACTCTCAAAGGCTCAAAAAATTGTTTTTAGGTAAAAAATTTACTATTTTTGATCAGGGCAGAAATTAATTGAGAGATGTGTGAAAAAAAATCTGGAAAACATATGAACCCAATATGTTATTACAGCAGTCAATGTCAGTGGCTTCTTTTAGCCACTGAGCGTTAACAACTGATGTAAATCTAACGGTTACACAAGGGTTAACTAATCCTAATCTCTGTTTATTGACAACACTCATACAATTTTTTTTTTAAGGTTATTGAAAATGTCAGCATGTAAAACACTTCTCCAACTGCTGCTTTTCTACAACTTCATGTATGTTTAACTGCAGCTATGCTAAAATTTCTACATAATTTCTTCTTGTTCTCCACCTCTTCAAGACATTTAACATTTATACTTTTCTTCTTTCGTAGCAGTTCTGCATGGCTGTTTCATCATTCAGCATTTCCATGCATTTTCTGCAAGGAAACGCAGTTTTTCAAGTTGTAATTGATAATCCTGTCGGCCGTTTTTTCTTCTAACACCAATATTTGTTACTTTTTCTCTCCTTCCCACTTTGTGCTATTTTAACCATTCACACTTGATAGTAATGCACTCCCTAAGGACATGATAAGTATTACTTTTCACCTTTCTACCATTTATACTCTTTGCAATATTTCACTTTTTCTGTACAATTAGAAATGATCATGAAAGTGCCAGAATTCTTAAGATGGTCTTATTTTCATTTTCTTCATCACAGGGTGATGAGATTCATTTGCAATAATGGAATAACAGCACCAACAGCACCACAGTCTCTTTATTTAGGGTTGTCCCTGGTTACACAATGGTACTAAAGGATGGGGGAAAAATATGTGCACCAATGTTAGCATTCTCATAAAACATAATTATGAACAACAGAACATATGTGAGGGTCAAGGCAACACTGTTGACATTAAACAAGCTCCTTCTGATAGGAGCGGATCCTCCTCATTACTTCCCACGATTCACAGTGGAGGATACATCACACACACACCTGCTAATAGGAGAAACAAGGTCACAGAGAAGATAAGAAACATTTTTGTGCTGTGTAATAAAGCTATTGGAGAGAGAAGTTAGAAAACACTGTGTGCACAATTATTAGGCAAGTGAGTATTTTGATCATATCATCATTTTTATGCATATTTTCCAACTCTAAGCTGTATAAACTTGAATGCTTATTGGATATAAGCATATCAGGTAATGTGTATTGAGGGAGGCTGGGGCCTAAGGAGATCAAAACCCTATATCAAGGTGTGCATAATTATTAGGCAGCTTCTTTTCCTCAGGTAAAATGGGCCAAAAAAGAGATTTAAGTGACTCTGAAAAGTCAAAAAATGTAAAAAGTCTTTCAGAGGGATGCAGCACTCTTGAAATTTCTTAGATATTTGGGCGTGATCACAGAACCATCAAACATTTTGATGCAAATAGTCAACAGGGTCGCAAGAAATGTGTTAAGAAAAAAAGACGCGAATTAACTGCCAAAGATTTGAGAAGACTCAAACGTAAAGCTACCAGGAACCCAATATCCTCCAGTGCTGTCATATTCCAGAACTGCAACCTACCTGGAGTGCCCAGAAGTACAAGGTGTTCAGTGCTCAGAGACATGGCCAAGGTAAGGAAGGCTGAAATCTGACCACCACTGAACAAGACACAAGTCGAAACGTCAAGACTGGGCCAAGAAATATCTGAAGAGAGACTTTTCAAAGGTTTTATGGACTGATGGGATGAGAGTGACTCTTGATGGACCAGATGGATGGACCCGTGGCTGGATCAGTAATGGGCACAGGGCTCCACTTCGAATCAGACACCAGCAAGGTGGAGGCTGGGTACTGGTATGGGCTGGTATTATTAAAGATGAGCTAGCTGGACCTTTTCGAGATGAAGATGGACTTAAAATCAACTCCCAAATCCAATGCCAGTTTTGAGAAGACACTTTCTTCAAGCAGTGGTACAGGCAAAAGTCTGCATCTTTCAAGAAAACCATATGATTTTTATGCAGGACAATGCTCCATTGCATGCAATGAAGTACTCCACTATATGGCTCGCCAGTAAAGGCCTTAAAAACAAAAGAATAATGACATGGCCTCCTTCTTCACCTGACCTAAACCCTGTTGAGAACTTGTGAGCCCTTCTTAAACGGGAAATTTTCAGTGAAGGAAGACAGTACACCTCTCTGAACAGTGTCTGGAACAGTGTCTGGAAGGCTTTGGTTACTGCAACACAAAAAGTTGATCGTCAACAGATCAAGAAACTGAAAGACTCCATAAATGGAAGGCTTATGACTGTTATTGAGAAGAAGGGTAGTAACATTAGTCACAGATTTTTTATTTTTATTTCAATTTTTATTTGTAAATTGAGATGTTTGTTTATCATTCTCACTTTAACCAGTGAAAATAAACAAATGAGATGGAAAATTTTTCATTTTCAATTTAGTTGCATAATAATTCTGCACACTAATAGCTGCCCCCAATAAGTGTGCACACATAGATATTCTCCTAAGGAAGCCAAAATCTCACTTTTACTCCCTTAAATATTCAGGTTTGAGGTTAATTAAAATTTTGGATTGACCAAGAGCACTGCAGTTGTTGAAAAATAAAGTTTATCCTCAAAAATACAACTTGCCTAATAATTCTGCACACAGTGTATGATGTGTAACAAGAGGTTAAAACAGTTCATACTTATAGCAAACTCTTACATAAGAATTTGAGTAAGATGATAACTTCTATATATATTTATACACATTATTCTGACAGTAACCATAGTAATTTTTGATTATGGTATGACAGCACCATCTAGTGGTGTGTACTTTTCACCTTTCTACCATTTATACTTTTTGCAATATTTCACTTTTTCTGTACATTTAGAAATGATCATGAGAGTGCCAGAATTCTTAAGATGGTCTTATTTTCATGATACCACTTAGAAAAACTGTGCCAGGTAAAGAAGTTCAGACGGCATCCACTTCACCCATGGTGGAGCACTTCTCATGTGTTGTGTGCTTGTCGATTTCCTTCACACCCTGTCCACACGCACTACTCCATCTTGCGGTGCGCTTCAGCTTGGTAAGTTAGTAACTGAAGCACACTATAGGGTAGTGTTGTGCCGCTACCAGTGACTATGGTTACATGCTGCTGACTGCAAACCTCTTTTGAATATTTCAACATTTCATGGGGAGTTTGTAATATATAAATCTCTAGGCACTTGTCGTTCCAAAGCACCTAGACTGAGCTTTATTTATTTTTATTCACAAAAGTCTTACAACTTTTTCTTCACTTGAGCATTTTTTACATTCATAAAAGTATTTAAAATTCTGCTCTCTATACTTTTAAGATTAATACCACTTCTTCATACTTTCATAATTTTACATTCATATGCCTTTTTTATACCACAGCTCTGTAACAATTTCTATATTGACAAATATTGACAAGTCTTACAACTTTGTCTTCACGTGAGCATTTTTTACATTCATACAAGTTTTTAAACTTCTGCTCTTAATACTTTTGAGATTAATACCATCTATTTAGCAACTTTAATAATTTTGCATTTATACAGCTTTTTTAGCTACAGCTCTGTAACACTCTTTATATTAACATGTAGGGCAGCAACTAAAGCTCACCACTAGATTTGGCTGTCATACCATAATCAAATATTTCTATGATGATGTGCCGACTGCAAACATCTTTTTTATGTAGGGCAGTGACAGAAGCACACCACTAGATGGTGCTCTTTTTCCACTATTACAAATCACTACGGTTTCATACTGCTGACTGCAAACATCTTTTCAGTATTCACACATGGAGCGGGGCCATAGTTTTGTTTAGGCATTAGGCGTTATGTTTTGAATGGACTCTCAAAGGCTTAAAACTTGTTTTTTGGATAAAAAATGTACTATTTTTGATCAGGGCAGAAGTTATTTGAGAGATGTGTGAAAAAAAATCTGGAAAAAATATGAATCCAATATGTTTTTACAGCAGTCGATGTCAGTGGCTTTTTTTAGCAACTGAGCGTTAACAAAGAATATTTTTTGGAAATCTGATCCTACAAAAAAAACTTCAAAGGCATCAAAGTCAATGATATTACTAATCCTTTACAAATTCAAGACTATAAAACCCTGCAAGAGATATCCAGTTTCAGGTTATGTTTTTGAATAAAAATCAGTCTCTCTTCTTAAGATGGTCTTATTTTCATGATACCACTTATAACAATAGGTCAATGAACTGACAGGTCATCATAACAACAGGTCACCATAACATTCAACACCATCCAACCGATCATACTCAAAGACAAACCCACAGAGATGGGCGTGGATCCTACCTGTGTTTCCTGGATCACAAATTGCCTGACAGGAATCACACAGTTCTTCATGCTGGGGAACTGTGTTTCTGGGCCTTATTGGGAAGTACAGGGGTTCCACAACGGACGGTCCTGGCTCCATTCCTATTGACAGGGTATACACCAGACTTCAAATACAGCACTGTGTCCTGAAATTTTTTTAGAGGGCGCTATGACCACATTTTTATGGAAATCCATTTTGACAGTGGAAAACTTTTTGTTTAACTTTGAGTCCAACATAGGTGTCATTGAATCCCTCGGTTTAGGTCAAACACAGGAGCTGAACTTACATTTTGAAATTTTGTAGAGGGAGAAATGAAGGAATTTTTTGATGGGTCCCCAATTTTTACATTGGCACCCATTTCTTTTCCTCTTGGCGTTCAAGACAAGTGTCATTGAATCCACTTGTCTGGACCACAGGAGCGGGGTTTAAGTTTTGAAATTTTGAAGGGGGCGCTATGGGGCCTTTTTATGATGGATATCCATTATGACAGTTAAACCCTTTTTGTTCGTCTCAAGGTCAAACATAAGTGTCATCAATTTCATAGGTTTAGGTCAAACACAGGAGCGTGGTTCACATTGAAGAAATTTGAAGGTGGCGCCATAGAGCCAATGTTTTGATGGATCTCCATTTTGATATTTAAACTGTTTTTGTTCGTGTAAAGGTTCAACTTCAGTGTCACTAATTCCACAGGTTTTGGACGCGCACCAGAGCAGGGCTTTCATTTAGAAATGTTGTAGAGAACGCAGTCGTGCCATTTTCAGTTGGATCCAAGATAAGTGTCTGTTAGTCCATTGGTCTGAGTCACTCAAAGGAGCAGGGGTTTCATTTTGAAATTATGAAAGGGGTGCTATGTAGCTATTTCTTAAAGAGACTACATTTTTGACATTGAACCCATTTTTCTTTGTCTTGAGGTCAAACATAAGTGACATAAATTCCAAAGGTTTTGGTCAAACACAGGAGTTGGGCTTAATTTTTTTTTTTTTAAATTTGAAGGTGGCACTCTGGAGCTATTTGAAGTTGATTCTCCATTTTGATGCTGGAGCCCTGTATGTTCAACTTTCGGTTTGTCATAATTGTTCTTTATTTCAAAAGTTTGGTTCGTACACAGAAAAAGGGCTTTTATTTTTCAATTGGGTAGGGGGCAATATGTGACCATTGATGGTTGGTTCTCCATCTTGACATTTTCTTCATCACAGGGTGATGAGACTCATTTGTAATAATGGAAAAACAGCACCATCTAGTGGTGTGCTTCAGTGACTTCCCCACATAAAAATGTAGAAAATATTACAGAGCTGAAGCTAAAATACTTGGATGAAGGTAAAAATAAAAAAAGATTGCTAAAATTGTATGTCTTATGTGCATTACAAGGAAAAATGATCAGTCGAGGTGCTTCGGATAGACAAATGCCTAAAAATGTATGTATTACAACCTCCCCGTGGAATGTGGAAGTACTCAAAAGAAGTTTACAGTCAGAATGTAACCATAGTAATTTTTGATTATGGTATGACAGCACCATCTAGTGGGGTGAACTTTTCACCTTTCTACCATTTATACTTTTTGCAATATTTCACTTTTTCCTGTACAATTAGAAGTGATCATGAGAGTGCCAATTGTTTTTTGTTAATCTGATCCTACAAAAAAAACTTAAATGGTTTCAAAGTCAATGATATTACGAATCCTTTACATATTCAAGACTATAAAACCCTGCAAGAGATATCCAGTTTCAGGTTATGTTTTCTAATAAAAATCAGTCTCTCTTCTTAAGATGGTCTTATTTTTTTATGATACCACTTATAACAATAGGTCAATGAACTGACAGGTCATCATAACAACAGGTCACCATAACGTTCAACACCATCCAACCGATCATACTAAAAGACAAGCCCACAGAGATGGGCGTGGATCCTACCTGTGTTTCCTGGATCACAAATTGCCTGACAGGAATCACACAGTTCTTCACGCTGGGGAACTGTGTTTCTGGGCCTTATTGAGAAGTACAGGGGTTCCACAACGGACGGTCCTGGCTCCATTCCTATTGACAGGGTATACACCAGACTTCAAATACAGCACTGAGTCCTGAAATTTTTGTAGAGGGCGCTATGACCACATTTTTGTTGGAAATCCATTTTGACAGTGGAAAACTTTTTGTTTAACTTTGAGTCCAACGTAGGTGTCATTGAATCCCTCGGTTTAGGTCAAACACAGGAGCTGAACTTACATTTTGAAATTTTGTAGAGGGAGAAATGAAGGAATTTTTTGATGGGTCCCCAATTTTTACATTGGCACCCATTTCTTTTCCTCTTGGGGTTCAAGATAAGTGTCATTGAATCCACTTGTCTGGACCGCAGGAGCGGGTTTACGTTTTGAAATTTTGAAGGGGGCGCTATGGGGCCTTTTTATGATGGACATCCATTATGACAGTTAAACCCTTTTTGTTCATCTTGAGGTCAAACATAAGTGTCATCAATTTCATAGGTTTCGGTCAAACACAGGAGCGTGGTTCACACTGAAGAAATTTGAAGGTGGCGCCATAGAGCCATGTTTTGATGGATCTCCATTTTGATATTCAAACTGTTTTTGTTCGTGTTAAGGTTCAACTTCAGTGTCACTAATTCCACAGGTTTTGGACGCGCACCAGAGCAGGGCTTTCATTTAGAAATGTTGTAGAGAACGCAGTCGTGCCATTTTCAGTTGGATCCAAGATAAGTGTCTGTTAGTCCATTGGTCTGAGTCACTCAAAGAAGCAGGGGTTTCATTTTGAAATTATGAAGGGGGTGCTATGTAGTTATTTCTTGAAGGACCTCAATTTTGACATTGAACCCATTTTTCTTTGTCTTGAGGTCAAACATAAGTGACATCAATTCCAAAGGTTTTGGTCAAACACAGGAGTGGGGCTTACTTTTTTTTTTTTAATTTGAAGCTGGCACTCTGGAGCTATTTGAAGTTGATTCTCCATTTTGATGCTGGAGCCCTGTATGTTCAACTTTCGGTTTGTCATAATTGTTCTTTATTTCAAAAGTTTGGTTCGTACACAGAAAAAGGGCTTTTATTTTTCAATTGGGTAGGGGGCAATATGTGACCATTGATGGTTGGTTCTCCATCTTGACATTTTCTTCATCACAGGGTGATGAGACTCATTTGTAATAATGGAAAAACAGCACCATCTAGTGGTGTGCTTCAGTGACTTCCCCACATAAAAATGTAGAAAATATTACAGAGCTGAAGCTAAAATACTTGGATGAAGGTAAAAATAAAAAAAATTGCTAAAATTGTATGTCTTATGTGCATTACAAGGAAAAATGATCAGTCGAGGTGCTTCGGATAGACAAATGCCTAAAAATGTATGTATTACAACCTCCCCGTGGAATGTGGAAGTACTCAAAAGAAGTTTACAGTCAGAATGTAACCATAGTAATTTTTGATTATGGTATGACAGCACCATCTAGTGGGGTGAACTTTTCACCTTTCTACCATTTATACTTTTTGCAATATTTCACTTTTTCCTGTACAATTAGAAGTGATCATGAGAGTGCCAGTTGTTTTTTGTTAATCTGATCCTACAAAAAAAACTTAAATGGTTTCAAAGTCAATGATATTACGAATCCTTTACATATTCAAGACTATAAAACCCTGCAAGAGATATCCAGTTTCAGGTTATGTTTTCTAATAAAAATCAGTCTCTCTTCTTAAGATGGTCTTATTTTTTTATGATACCACTTATAACAATAGGTCAATGAACTGACAGGTCATCATAACAACAGGTCACCATAACGTTCAACACCATCCAACCGATCATACTCAAAGACAAGCCCACAGAGATGGGCGTGGATCCTACCTGTGTTTCCTGGATCACAAATTGCCTGACAGGAATCACACAGTTCTTCACGCTGGGGAACTGTGTTTCTGGGCCTTATTGAGAAGTACAGGGGTTCCACAACGGACGGTCCTGGCTCCATTCCTATTGACAGGGTATACACCAGACTTCAAATACAGCACTGAGTCCTGAAATTTTTGTAGAGGGCGCTATGACCACATTTTTGTTGGAAATCCATTTTGACAGTGGAAAACTTTTTGTTTAACTTTGAGTCCAACGTAGGTGTCATTGAATCCCTCGGTTTAGGTCAAACACAGGAGCTGAACTTACATTTTGAAATTTTGTAGAGGGAGAAATGAAGGAATTTTTTGATGGGTCCCCAATTTTTACATTGGCAACCATTTCTTTTCCTCTTGGGGTTCAAGATAAGTGTCATTGAATCCACTTGTCTGGACCGCAGGAGCGGGTTTACGTTTTGAAATTTTGAAGGGGGCGCTATGGGGCCTTTTTATGATGGACATCCATTATGACAGTTAAACCCTTTTTGTTCATCTTGAGGTCAAACATAAGTGTCATCAATTTCATAGGTTTAGGTCAAACACAGGAGCGTGGTTCACACTGAAGAAATTTGAAGGTGGCGCCATAGAGCCATGTTTTGATGGATCTCCATTTTGATATTCAAACTGTTTTTGTTCGTGTTAAGGTTCAACTTCAGTGTCACTAATTCCACAGGTTTTGGACGCGCACCAGAGCAGGGCTTTCATTTAGAAATGTTGTAGAGAACGCAGTCGTGCCATTTTCAGTTGGATCCAAGATAAGTGTCTGTTAGTCCATTGGTCTGAGTCACTCAAAGAAGCAGGGGTTTCATTTTGAAATTATGAAGGGGGTGCTATGTAGTTATTTCTTGAAGGACCTCAATTTTGACATTGAACCCATTTTTGTTTGTCTTGAGGTCAAACATAAGTGACATCAATTCCAAAGGTTTTGGTCAAACACAGGAGTGGGGCTTACTTTTTTTTTAAATTTGAAGGTGGCACTCTGGAGCTATTTGAAGTTGATTCTCCATTTTGATGCTGGAGCCCTGTATGTTCAACTTTCGGTTTGTCATAATTGTTCTTTATTTCAAAAGTTTGGTTCGTACACAGAAAAAGGGCTTTTATTTTTCAATTGGGTAGGGGGCAATATGTGACCATTGATGGTTGGTTCTCCATCTTGACATTTTCTTCATCACAGGGTGATGAGACTCATTTGTAATAATGGAAAAACAGCACCATCTAGTGGTGTGCTTCAGTGACTTCCCCACATAAAAATGTAGAAAATATTACAGAGCTGAAGCTAAAATACTTGGATGAAGGTAAAAATAAAAAAAAATGCTAAAATTGTATGTCTTATGTGCATTACAAGGAAAAATGATCAGTCGAGGTGCTTCGGATAGACAAATGCCTAAAAATGTATGTATTACAACCTCCCCGTGGAATGTGGAAGTACTCAAAAGAAGTTTACAGTCAGAATGTAACCATAGTAATTTTTGATTATGGCATGACAGCACCATCTAGTGGGGTGAACTTTTCACCTTTCTACCATTTATACTTTCTGCAATATTTCACTTTTTCCTGTACAATTAGAAGTGATCATGAGAGTGCCAGTTGTTTTTTGTTAATCTGATCCTACAAAAAAAACTTAAATGGTTTCAAAGTCAATGATATTACGAATCCTTTACATATTCAAGACTATAAAACCCTGCAAGAGATATCCAGTTTCAGGTTATGTTTTCTAATAAAAATCAGTCTCTCTTCTTGAGATGGTCTTATTTTTTTATGATACCACTTATAACAATAGGTCAATGAACTGACAGGTCATCATAACAACAGGTCACCATAACGTTCAACACCATCCAACCGATCATACTAAAAGACAAGCCCACAGAGATGGGCGTGGATCCTACCTGTGTTTCCTGGATCACAAATTGCCGACAGGAATCACACAGTTCTTCACGCTGGGGAACTGTGTTTCTGGGCCTTATTGAGAAGTACAGGGGTTCCACAACGGACGGTCCTGGCTCCATTCCTATTGACAGGGTATACACCAGACTTCAAATACAGCACTGAGTCCTGAAATTTTTGTAGAGGGCGCTATGACCACATTTTTGTTGGAAATCCATTTTGACAGTGGAAAACTTTTTGTTTAACTTTGAGTCCAACGTAGGTGTCATTGAATCCCTCGGTTTAGGTCAAACACAGGAGCTGAACTTACATTTTGAAATTTTGTAGAGGGAGAAATGAAGGAATTTTTTGATGGGTCCCCAATTTTTACATTGGCACCCATTTCTTTTCCTCTTGGGGTTCAAGATAAGTGTCATTGAATCCACTTGTCTGGACCGCAGGAGCGGGTTTACGTTTTGAAATTTTGAAGGGGGCGCTATGGGGCCTTTTTATGATGGACATCCATTATGACAGTTAAACCCTTTTTGTTCATCTTGAGGTCAAACATAAGTGTCATCAATTTCATAGGTTTCGGTCAAACACAGGAGCGTGGTTCACACTGAAGAAATTTGAAGGTGGCGCCATAGAGCCATGTTTTGATGGATCTCCATTTTGATATTCAAACTGTTTTTGTTCGTGTTAAGGTTCAACTTCAGTGTCACTAATTCCACAGGTTTTGGACGCGCACCAGAGCAGGGCTTTCATTTAGAAATGTTGTAGAGAACGCAGTCGTGCCATTTTCAGTTGGATCCAAGATAAGTCTCTGTTAGTCCATTGGTCTGAGTCACTCAAAGAAGCAGGAGTTTCATTTTGAAATTATGAAGGGGGTGCTATGTAGCTATTTCTTGAAGGACCTCAATTTTGACATTGAACCCATTTTTGTTTGTCTTGAGGTCAAACATAAGTGACATCAATTCCAAAGGTTTTGGTCAAACACAGGAGCGGGGCTTACTTTTTTTTTAAATTTGAAGCTGGCACTCTGGAGCTATTTGAAGTTGATTCTCCATTTTGATGCTGGAGCCCTTTATGTTCAACTTTCGGTTTGTCATAATTGTACTTTATTTCAAAAGTTTGGTTCGTACACAGAAAAAGGGCTTTTATTTTTCAATTGGGTAGGGGGCAATATGTGACCATTGATGGTTGGTTCTCCATTTTGACATTTTCTTCATCACAGGGTGATGAGACTCATTTGTAATAATGGAAAAACAGCACCATCTAGTGGTGTGCTTCAGTGACTTCCCCACATAAAAATGTAGAAAATATTACAGAGCTGAAGCTAAAATACTTGGATGAAGGTAAAAATAAAAAAAAAATTGCTAAAATTGTATGTCTTCTGTGAATTACAAGGAAAAATGATCAGTCGAGGTGCTTCGGATAGCCAAATGCCTAAAATTGTATGTATTACAACCTCCCCGTGAAATGTGGAAGTACTCAAAAGAAGTTTACAGTCAGAATGTAACCATAGTAATTTTTGATTATGGTATGACAGCACCATCTAGTGGGGTGTAATTTTCACCTTTCTACCATTTATACTTTTTGCAATATTTCACTTTTTCTGTACAATTAGAAGTGATCATGAGAGTGCCAGAATTCTTAAGATGGTCTTATTTTCATGATACCACTTGGAAAAACTGCGTCAGGTAAAGAAGTTCAGACGGTATCCACTTCACCCATGGTGGAGCACTTCTCATGTGTTGTGTGCTTGTCGATTTCCTACACACTCTGTCCGCACGCACTACTCCATCTTGCGGTGCGCTTCAGCTTGGTAAGTTAGTAACTGAAGCACACTATAGGGTAGTGTTGTGCCGCTACCAGTGACTATGGTTACATGCTGCTGACTGCAAACCTCTTTTGAATATTTCAACATTTCATGGGGAGTTTGTAAAATATAAATCTCTAGGCACTTGTCTTTCCAAAGCACCTAGACTGATCTTTATTTATTTTTATTCACAAAAGTCTTACAACTTTTTCTTCACTTGAGCATTTTTTACATTCATAAAAGTATTTAAAATTCTGCTCTCTATACTTTTAAGATTAATACCACTTCTTCATACTTTCATAATTTTACATTCATATGCCTTTTTTATACCACAGCTCTGTAACAATTCTATATTGACAAATATTGACAGGTCTTACAACTTTGTCTTCACGTGAGCATTTTTTACATTCATACAAGTTTTTAAACTTCTGCTCTTAATACTTTTGAGATCAATACCACCTATTTAGCACTTTAATAATTTTGCATTTATACAGCTTTTAGCTACAGCTCTGTAACACTCTTTATATTTATATGTAGGGCAGCAACTGAAGCTCACCACTAGATGCGGCTGTCATACCATAATCAAATATTTCTATGGTGATGTGCTGACTGCAAACATCTTTTTTATGTAGGGCAGTGACAGAAGCACACCACCAGATGGTGCTGTTTTTCCATTATTACAAATCACTACAGTTACATGCTGCTGACTGCAAACATCTTTTCAGTATTCACACATGGAGCAGGGCCATTGTTTTGTTTAGGCATTAGCCGTTTTGTTTTGAATGGACTCTCAAAGGCTTAAAAAATTGTTTTTTGGATAAAAAAATGTACTATTTTTGATCAGGGCAGAAGTTAATTGAGAGATGTGTGAAAAAAAATCTGGAAAAAATATGAATCCAATATGATTTTACAGCAGTCGATGTCAGAGGCTTTTTTTAGCCACTGAGCATTAACAAAGGATGTTTTTTGTTAATCTGATCCTACAAAAAAAACTTAAATGGTTTCAAAGTCAATGATATTACGAATCCTTTACATATTCAAGACTATAAAACCCTGCAAGAGATATCCAGTTTCAGGTTATGTTTTCTAATAAAAATCAGTCTCTCTTCTTGAGATGGTCTTATTTTTTTATGATACCACTTATAACAATAGGTCAATGAACTGACAGGTCATCATAACAACAGGTCACCATAACGTTCAACACCATCCAACCGATCATACTAAAAGACAAGCCCACAGAGATGGGCGTGGATCCTACCTGTGTTTCCTGGATCACAAATTGCCTGACAGGAATCACACAGTTCTTCACGCTGGGGAACTGTGTTTCTGGGCCTTATTGAGAAGTACAGGGGTTCCACAACGGACGGTCCTGGCTCCATTCCTATTGACAGGGTATACACCAGACTTCAAATACAGCACTGAGTCCTGAAATTTTTGTAGAGGGCGCTATGACCACATTTTTGTTGGAAATCCATTTTGACAGTGGAAAACTTTTTGTTTAACTTTGAGTCCAACGTAGGTGTCATTGAATCCCTCGGTTTAGGTCAAACACAGGAGCTGAACTTACATTTTGAAATTTTGTAGAGGGAGAAATGAAGGAATTTTTTGATGGGTCCCCAATTTTTACATTGGCAACCATTTCTTTTCCTCTTGGGGTTCAAGATAAGTGTCATTGAATCCACTTGTCTGGACCGCAGGAGCGGGTTTACGTTTTGAAATTTTGAAGGGGGCGCTATGGGGCCTTTTTATGATGGATATCCATTATGACAGTTAAACCCTTTTTGTTCGTCTTGAGGTCAAACATAAGTGTCATCAATTTCATAGGTTTAGGTCAAACACAGGAGCGTGGTTCACACTGAAGAAATTTGAAGGTGGCGCCATAGAGCCATGTTTTGATGGATCTCCATTTTGATATTCAAACTGTTTTTGTTCGTGTTAAGGTTCAACTTCAGTGTCACTAATTCCACAGGTTTTGGACGCGCACCAGAGCAGGGCTTTCATTTAGAAATGTTGTAGAGAACGCAGTCGTGCCATTTTCAGTTGGATCCAAGATAAGTGTCTGTTAGTCCATTGGTCTGAGTCACTCAAAGAAGCAGGGGTTTCATTTTGAAATTATGAAGGGGGTGCTATGTAGTTATTTCTTGAAGGACCTCAATTTTGACATTGAACCCATTTTTGTTTGTCTTGAGGTCAAACATAAGTGACATCAATTCCAAAGGTTTTGGTCAAACACAGGAGTGGGGCTTACTTTTTTTTTTTTTAATTTGAAGCTGGCACTCTGGAGCTATTTGAAGTTGATTCTCCATTTTGATGCTGGAGCCCTGTATGTTCAACTTTCGGTTTGTCATAATTGTTCTTTATTTCAAAAGTTTGGTTCGTACACAGAAAAAGGGCTTTTATTTTTCAATTGGGTAGGGGGCAATATGTGACCATTGATGGTTGGTTCTCCATCTTGACATTTTCTTCATCACAGGGTGATGAGACTCATTTGTAATAATGGAAAAACAGCACCATCTAGTGGTGTGCTTCAGTGACTTCCCCACATAAAAATGTAGAAAATATTACAGAGCTGAAGCTAAAATACTTGGATGAAGGTAAAAATAAAAAAAAATTGCTAAAATTGTATGTCTTATGTGCATTACAAGGAAAAATGATCAGTCGAGGTGCTTCGGATAGACAAATGCCTAAAAATGTATGTATTACAACCTCCCCGTGGAATGTGGAAGTACTCAAAAGAAGTTTACAGTCAGAATGTAACCATAGTAATTTTTGATTATGGTATGACAGCACCATCTAGTGGGGTGAACTTTTCACCTTTCTACCATTTATACTTTTTGCAATATTTCACTTTTTCCTGTACAATTAGAAGTGATCATGAGAGTGCCAGTTGTTTTTTGTTAATCTGATCCTACAAAAAAAACTTAAATGGTTTCAAAGTCAATGATATTACGAATCCTTTACATATTCAAGACTATAAAACCCTGCAAGAGATATCCAGTTTCAGGTTATGTTTTCTAATAAAAATCAGTCTCTCTTCTTAAGATGGTCTTATTTTTTTATGATACCACTTATAACAATAGGTCAATGAACTGACAGGTCATCATAACAACAGGTCACCATAACGTTCAACACCATCCAACCGATCATACTAAAAGACAAGCCCACAGAGATGGGCGTGGATCCTACCTGTGTTTCCTGGATCACAAATTGCCTGACAGGAATCACACAGTTCTTCACGCTGGGGAACTGTGTTTCTGGGCCTTATTGAGAAGTACAGGGGTTCCACAACGGACGGTCCTGGCTCCATTCCTATTGACAGGGTATACACCAGACTTCAAATACAGCACTGAGTCCTGAAATTTTTGTAGAGGGCGCTATGACCACATTTTTGTTGGAAATCCATTTTGACAGTGGAAAACTTTTTGTTTAACTTTGAGTCCAACGTAGGTGTCATTGAATCCCTCGGTTTAGGTCAAACACAGGAGCTGAACTTACATTTTGAAATTTTGTAGAGGGAGAAATGAAGGAATTTTTTGATGGGTCCCCAATTTTTACATTGGCACCCATTTCTTTTCCTCTTGGGGTTCAAGATAAGTGTCATTGAATCCACTTGTCTGGACCGCAGGAGCGGGTTTACGTTTTGAAATTTTGAAGGGGGCGCTATGGGGCCTTTTTATGATGGACATCCATTATGACAGTTAAACCCTTTTTGTTCATCTTGAGGTCAAACATAAGTGTCATCAATTTCATAGGTTTCGGTCAAACACAGGAGCGTGGTTCACACTGAAGAAATTTGAAGGTGGCGCCATAGAGCCATGTTTTGATGGATCTCCATTTTGATATTCAAACTGTTTTTGTTCGTGTTAAGGTTCAACTTCAGTGTCACTAATTCCACAGGTTTTGGACGCGCACCAGAGCAGGGCTTTCATTTAGAAATGTTGTAGAGAACGCAGTCGTGCCATTTTCAGTTGGATCCAAGATAAGTGTCTGTTAGTCCATTGGTCTGAGTCACTCAAAGAAGCAGGGGTTTCATTTTGAAATTATGAAGGGGGTGCTATGTAGCTATTTCTTGAAGGACCTCAATTTTGACATTGAACCCATTTTTGTTTGTCTTGAGGTCAAACATAAGTGACATCAATTCCAAAGGTTTTGGTCAAACACAGGAGTGGGGCTTACTTTTTTTTTTTTTAATTTGAAGCTGGCACTCTGGAGCTATTTGAAGTTGATTCTCCATTTTGATGCTGGAGCCCTGTATGTTCAACTTTCGGTTTGTCATAATTGTTCTTTATTTCAAAAGTTTGGTTCGTACACAGAAAAAGGGCTTTTATTTTTCAATTGGGTAGGGGGCAATATGTGACCATTGATGGTTGGTTCTCCATCTTGACATTTTCTTCATCACAGGGTGATGAGACTCATTTGTAATAATGGAAAAACAGCACCATCTAGTGGTGTGCTTCAGTGACTTCCCCACATAAAAATGTAGAAAATATTACAGAGCTGAAGCTAAAATACTTGGATGAAGGTAAAAATAAAAAAAAATTGCTAAAATTGTATGTCTTATGTGCATTACAAGGAAAAATGATCAGTCGAGGTGCTTCGGATAGACAAATGCCTAAAAATGTATGTATTACAACCTCCCCGTGGAATGTGGAAGTACTCAAAAGAAGTTTACAGTCAGAATGTAACCATAGTAATTTTTGATTATGGTATGACAGCACCATCTAGTGGGGTGAACTTTTCACCTTTCTACCATTTATACTTTCTGCAATATTTCACTTTTTCCTGTACAATTAGAAGTGATCATGAGAGTGCCAGTTGTTTTTTGTTAATCTGATCCTACAAAAAAAACTTAAATGGTTTCAAAGTCAATGATATTACGAATCCTTTACATATTCAAGACTATAAAACCCTGCAAGAGATATCCAGTTTCAGGTTATGTTTTCTAATAAAAATCAGTCTCTCTTCTTGAGATGGTCTTATTTTTTTATGATACCACTTATAACAATAGGTCAATGAACTGACAGGTCATCATAACAACAGGTCACCATAACGTTCAACACCATCCAACCGATCATACTAAAAGACAAGCCCACAGAGATGGGCGTGGATCCTACCTGTGTTTCCTGGATCACAAATTGCCTGACAGGAATCACACAGTTCTTCACGCTGGGGAACTGTGTTTCTGGGCCTTATTGAGAAGTACAGGGGTTCCACAACGGACGGTCCTGGCTCCATTCCTATTGACAGGGTATACACCAGACTTCAAATACAGCACTGAGTCCTGAAATTTTTGTAGAGGGCGCTATGACCACATTTTTGTTGGAAATCCATTTTGACAGTGGAAAACTTTTTGTTTAACTTTGAGTCCAACGTAGGTGTCATTGAATCCCTCGGTTTAGGTCAAACACAGGAGCTGAACTTACATTTTGAAATTTTGTAGAGGGAGAAATGAAGGAATTTTTTGATGGGTCCCCAATTTTTACATTGGCACCCATTTCTTTTCCTCTTGGGGTTCAAGATAAGTGTCATTGAATCCACTTGTCTGGACCGCAGGAGCGGGTTTACGTTTTGAAATTTTGAAGGGGGCGCTATGGGGCCTTTTTATGATGGACATCCATTATGACAGTTAAACCCTTTTTGTTCATCTTGAGGTCAAACATAAGTGTCATCAATTTCATAGGTTTCGGTCAAACACAGGAGCGTGGTTCACACTGAAGAAATTTGAAGGTGGCGCCATAGAGCCATGTTTTGATGGATCTCCATTTTGATATTCAAACTGTTTTTGTTCGTGTTAAGGTTCAACTTCAGTGTCACTAATTCCACAGGTTTTGGACGCGCACCAGAGCAGGGCTTTCATTTAGAAATGTTGTAGAGAACGCAGTCGTGCCATTTTCAGTTGGATCCAAGATAAGTGTCTGTTAGTCCATTGGTCTGAGTCACTCAAAGAAGCAGGGGTTTCATTTTGAAATTATGAAGGGGGTGCTATGTAGTTATTTCTTGAAGGACCTCAATTTTGACATTGAACCCATTTTTGTTTGTCTTGAGGTCAAACATAAGTGACATCAATTCCAAAGGTTTTGGTCAAACACAGGAGTGGGGCTTACTTTTTTTTTTTTTTAATTTGAAGCTGGCACTCTGGAGCTATTTGAAGTTGATTCTCCATTTTGATGCTGGAGCCCTGTATGTTCAACTTTCGGTTTGTCATAATTGTTCTTTATTTCAAAAGTTTGGTTCGTACACAGAAAAAGGGCTTTTATTTTTCAATTGGGTAGGGGGCAATATGTGACCATTGATGGTTGGTTCTCCATCTTGACATTTTCTTCATCACAGGGTGATGAGACTCATTTGTAATAATGGAAAAACAGCACCATCTAGTGGTGTGCTTCAGTGACTTCCCCACATAAAAATGTAGAAAATATTACAGAGCTGAAGCTAAAATACTTGGATGAAGGTAAAAATAAAAAAAAATTGCTAAAATTGTATGTCTTATGTGCATTACAAGGAAAAATGATCAGTCGAGGTGCTTCGGATAGACAAATGCCTAAAAATGTATGTATTACAACCTCCCCGTGGAATGTGGAAGTACTCAAAAGAAGTTTACAGTCAGAATGTAACCATAGTAATTTTTGATTATGGTATGACAGCACCATCTAGTGGGGTGAACTTTTCACCTTTCTACCATTTATACTTTTTGCAATATTTCACTTTTTCCTGTACAATTAGAAGTGATCATGAGAGTGCCAGTTGTTTTTTGTTAATCTGATCCTACAAAAAAAACTTAAATGGTTTCAAAGTCAATGATATTACGAATCCTTTACATATTCAAGACTATAAAACCCTGCAAGAGATATCCAGTTTCAGGTTATGTTTTCTAATAAAAATCAGTCTCTCTTCTTAAGATGGTCTTATTTTTTTATGATACCACTTATAACAATAGGTCAATGAACTGACAGGTCATCATAACAACAGGTCACCATAACGTTCAACACCATCCAACCGATCATACTAAAAGACAAGCCCACAGAGATGGGCGTGGATCCTACCTGTGTTTCCTGGATCACAAATTGCCTGACAGGAATCACACAGTTCTTCACGCTGGGGAACTGTGTTTCTGGGCCTTATTGAGAAGTACAGGGGTTCCACAACGGACGGTCCTGGCTCCATTCCTATTGACAGGGTATACACCAGACTTCAAATACAGCACTGAGTCCTGAAATTTTTGTAGAGGGCGCTATGACCACATTTTTGTTGGAAATCCATTTTGACAGTGGAAAACTTTTTGTTTAACTTTGAGTCCAACGTAGGTGTCATTGAATCCCTCGGTTTAGGTCAAACACAGGAGCTGAACTTACATTTTGAAATTTTGTAGAGGGAGAAATGAAGGAATTTTTTGATGGGTCCCCAATTTTTACATTGGCAACCATTTCTTTTCCTCTTGGGGTTCAAGATAAGTGTCATTGAATCCACTTGTCTGGACCGCAGGAGCGGGTTTACGTTTTGAAATTTTGAAGGGGGCGCTATGGGGCCTTTTTATGATGGACATCCATTATGACAGTTAAACCCTTTTTGTTCATCTTGAGGTCAAACATAAGTGTCATCAATTTCATAGGTTTCGGTCAAACACAGGAGCGTGGTTCACACTGAAGAAATTTGAAGGTGGTGCCATAGAGCCATGTTTTGATGGATCTCCATTTTGATATTCAAACTGTTTTTGTTCGTGTTAAGGTTCAACTTCAGTGTCACTAATTCCACAGGTTTTGGACGCGCACCAGAGCAGGGCTTTCATTTAGAAATGTTGTAGAGAACGCAGTCGTGCCATTTTCAGTTGGATCCAAGATAAGTGTCTGTTAGTCCATTGGTCTGAGTCACTCAAAGAAGCAGGGGTTTCATTTTGAAATTATGAAGGGGGTGCTATGTAGTTATTTCTTGAAGGACCTCAATTTTGACATTGAACCCATTTTTGTTTGTCTTGAGGTCAAACATAAGTGACATCAATTCCAAAGGTTTTGGTCAAACACAGGAGTGGGGCTTACTTTTTTTTTTTTAATTTGAAGCTGGCACTCTGGAGCTATTTGAAGTTGATTCTCCATTTTGATGCTGGAGCCCTGTATGTTCAACTTTCGGTTTGTCATAATTGTTCTTTATTTCAAAAGTTTGGTTCGTACACAGAAAAAGGGCTTTTATTTTTCAATTGGGTAGGGGGCAATATGTGACCATTGATGGTTGGTTCTCCATCTTGACATTTTCTTCATCACAGGGTGATGAGACTCATTTGTAATAATGGAAAAACAGCACCATCTAGTGGTGTGCTTCAGTGACTTCCCCACATAAAAATGTAGAAAATATTACAGAGCTGAAGCTAAAATACTTGGATGAAGGTAAAAATAAAAAAATTGCTAAAATTGTATGTCTTATGTGCATTACAAGGAAAAATGATCAGTCGAGGTGCTTCGGATAGACAAATGCCTAAAAATGTATGTATTACAACCTCCCCGTGGAATGTGGAAGTACTCAAAAGAAGTTTACAGTCAGAATGTAACCATAGTAATTTTTGATTATGGTATGACAGCACCATCTAGTGGGGTGAACTTTTCACCTTTCTACCATTTATACTTTCTGCAATATTTCACTTTTTCCTGTACAATTAGAAGTGATCATGAGAGTGCCAGTTGTTTTTTGTTAATCTGATCCTACAAAAAAAACTTAAATGGTTTCAAAGTCAATGATATTACGAATCCTTTACATATTCAAGACTATAAAACCCTGCAAGAGATATCCAGTTTCAGGTTATGTTTTCTAATAAAAATCAGTCTCTCTTCTTAAGATGGTCTTATTTTTTTATGATACCACTTATAACAATAGGTCAATGAACTGACAGGTCATCATAACAACAGGTCACCATAACGTTCAACACCATCCAACCGATCATACTAAAAGACAAGCCCACAGAGATGGGCGTGGATCCTACCTGTGTTTCCTGGATCACAAATTGCCTGACAGGAATCACACAGTTCTTCACGCTGGGGAACTGTGTTTCTGGGCCTTATTGAGAAGTACAGGGGTTCCACAACGGACGGTCCTGGCTCCATTCCTATTGACAGGGTATACACCAGACTTCAAATACAGCACTGAGTCCTGAAATTTTTGTAGAGGGCGCTATGACCACATTTTTGTTGGAAATCCATTTTGACAGTGGAAAACTTTTTGTTTAACTTTGAGTCCAACGTAGGTGTCATTGAATCCCTCGGTTTAGGTCAAACACAGGAGCTGAACTTACATTTTGAAATTTTGTAGAGGGAGAAATGAAGGAATTTTTTGATGGGTCCCCAATTTTTACATTGGCAACCATTTCTTTTCCTCTTGGGGTTCAAGATAAGTGTCATTGAATCCACTTGTCTGGACCGCAGGAGCGGGTTTACGTTTTGAAATTTTGAAGGGGGCGCTATGGGGCCTTTTTATGATGGACATCCATTATGACAGTTAAACCCTTTTTGTTCATCTTGAGGTCAAACATAAGTGTCATCAATTTCATAGGTTTCGGTCAAACACAGGAGCGTGGTTCACACTGAAGA